CAGATGATAAACTGGGGTTGCACCAGATGATAAACTGGGGTTGCAGTTCAGTGGCTTGACCAGGGCTACATTGATAAATATTGAAGAAACATGGTATACACATGATCAGCTAAGACCAGTATAAAGGGCATAGTTCTCTTTATGAAATGCTCCGGAAGACCAGAATGGATATCTAGCCACAATGTTTACCTGGCACTCCTATGGTCAAACTAAAGATATACCTTCTGGGTGGTAACTTGAGGAGTGATCATCCGTATTAGCCACCTAAAGCAGCCCTAACCAGGCATCCTTCTAATATTTGATTATTTGATTTGATTATTTAATTTGTATACCACTTAATACATTAAACATATCTCTAAGCGGTGTACAAAAAACTGAAGCAACAACGGACAACTTCAACTACTGCAAAATACCCAGCTTTGTGAATGTTCTGCTATCCTATGTGTCCCCTGAGATATAATCTGTGGAATCTTCCCATGTTTACCAGTGCTTTACTTATGGCAAACTAATGATACATTAATGGATCCCCAAACTTCTTCTTGACTACTTCTAACAAGGCAGAGTTTTTTCTGTATAAATGCAACAGTTTAATATTAAAGCACAGACTCAAATCTAAAATGCCACATTATAAATGTACATTTTAAAAGCCACTGTGGTTATCTAGCAAAAGTGGGAAGATTGTTACTTGATTTTAAGGCAATTTTGGGAGAGGGTAGGTACCATGACTTCAGGAAAAGATTAAAGGCTTTTGGACACTTTTTATTTTATTTTTTAGAGATTGCTGCTAGGCTGCCAAAGCCCTTACAACAGTTGCTTACAAGCCACATTCAACCCCTAAAGATGAACCAGTAAATAATGGTACGACAGTAAGAAAATACCTAAGCAAAGGGATGCAATGAGGGTTGAGGGTGTTTATAATGTAAATGTATGCAGCTTTGGACAGCAAATGGAATGTGCACGGTTGACCTCAGAATTATTTTTAAATATAGTTTTAATAAGTAATGAATGATTTTCTAGTAAATATAGCATGAAGCCTATGTTATGCACTTTCAAACACTAAATCAAGGACTTTGTTCTAAGCAGAGCAACCATGACAAGGTTGGCAGAGAGATTTGAAAGCCAGGAGTACACAGCACAAAGCACTGTGTGACCCCATAAACCATTATTTTAAACTGATTTTGCAATAACCTTGAGAGCTTTGAATATACATGGGATGCTGCACAAATCGGGGCTGCTTTACTGCTATGTAAATGAAACCTACCTTCACACAATTAATACACAGCTAGAGCCCACCTTTATTGTTAAACCACCAAACCAGGACTCATGAGATACAACCTTTGGATTCTTTAAAAAACATGGAAATGGAAGGTTGCCTCACCCCTCCCCTTAGGGGGAGAAATAGCCATGGGGTTTGGGGTGGGGGAATACATGTGCCAATACATGTAAACTTTAGCAATTCACAACAGAATCGCCAAAGAATTTATGCTTCTGAATTATGGTGCTGGAGGAGACTCTTGAGAGTCCCATGGATTGCAAGAAAATCAAACCTATCCATTCTGAAGGAAATCAGCCCTGAGTGCTCACTGGAAGGACAGATCCTGAAGCTGAGGCTCCAATACTTTGGCCAGCTCATGAGAAGACTCTTCTCTAAGCGGGAAAGACCCTGATCAGGGAAAAGACCCTGATGTTGGGAAAGATTGAGGGCACAAGGAGAAGGAGACGACAGAGAACAAGATAGTTGGACAGTGTTCTCGAAGCTACCAGCTTGAGTTTGACCAAACTGCAGGAGGCAGTGGAAGACAGGAGTGCCTGGCGTGCTCTGGTCCATGGGGTCACAAAGAGTCAGACATGACTAAACGACTAAACAACAACAACAGAAAGAAAGCACTTACCTCTTTCTTAAAGAGTCACACTAGAAGTGCCAGGAAGAAATAGCTCCTTTCCTGGTTTGGAGCACTGGTTACTCTTGCACAACATTGCTAGACTAGTCTTTCTTTTAGCGCATCCAAACTTAGAAAGAATGATTATGTTCTAAAGTTTAAGTCACCCATAGAGTGGTGGATAGGAATTTCTATATAAATAAGTGAAAGTTTCCTAATTAAACTCATTGACTGCAAAGCAGAATGCAGTTACTTTGTGTAGCCAAGGATACATAAAAGGTAGAGGCAACACAACACATTATAGTCCACAATACAGAAGACTGGATCCTCGAGTGTTCGATGGATAAGAGGTTATTCACCTTTCTTCAGTATTTTATATTGCTGGGATACAGGGAAGAGAGACTATTGCTGTTGGTCTAAGCATGCAAATGAGCAACGAAGATAAGCGGCTCAAGCACATCACCAACCGCAATCCGTCTTGGCTGCTGAGCAGAATGACGGGTGTTGAAAGTGAAAAGTTAAGTGTTTTGTAAGCACTATGTTAGGGTTTGTTGTTTGACATAAGAGACAAAAGATTGCGCAGGTTGCACTTTCATTGCAGATGTGGATTCAGCAACATCTCCATCAAATACTATCTGTGGATATACAGCATCATCTTCTGGACAGCTTGAATATCAAAATCCACAAGCACATAAAAGATCCCAGAGACCAAAGGTCCATCTAGTCCAGCATTCTGTTCAGACAGTGATGTCCATGGGAAGCCCACAAGCAAGCCATGGGGGCAACAGTACTCTCCCCATTAGTGCTCCCCAACAAATGGTAGTCTGCCTCCAACACTGGATATAATGCGCAGCTGTGATGGATGTGATAGCCTTATCCCTCATGAATTTGCCTAAACCCTTTTCAAGCCATCTACTGAATGCCACTGCACTCTTGGGTAGCAAATCTCATAGTTTAACTATGTAACACATGATGTAGTGGTTTTGTCAGCTTCATTGGGTGACTCTGTGTTCTAGCCACACAAGGGAGAGAAAAACCTTCCTCTATCCACCTTCTCCACAACACGCATAATAGTATATACCTCTATCAAGCATGCCTTACTTGCCTTTTTTCCTAAACTATAAAGCCCCACATGTTGAAACCTCTCCTGGTGCAGTTGTTCTAGCCCTGGACAACAAAAGAGGTTTAAAGAAGCTCTCAAGGCCAAAAAAAAAAGGGGGGGGGAATCACTGGCCTGCGAGTGCTCCAACTGGAAAACAGCCTTTACCAAAGGCATCATGGACTTTGAAGAAGCGCGAACTCAGAATGAAAGGGAGAAATGAGCTAAGAGGAAGGCACGTTTGGCAAATCCTCACCGTGATCAACTACCATCCAGAAACCTATGTCTCCACTGTGGAAGGATGTGCAGATCCAGAAGTGGCCTCCATAGTCACTTACAGACACACTGTTGAGACCGTATTCATGGAAGACAATCTTACTTGGCTATGAGTGATCGCTAAAGAAGAAAGATGATCGTGTTGATTGAAACTTTTCTAGCTCTACAGTATCTTTTTTGAGGTGAGGCAACCAGAACTATACAAGTGCAGTATTCGAAGTGCAGTTGCACCATAGATTTGTATTACATCATTAGGGCAGTTTTATTTTCAATCCCAACATCTTTTTTCTGGTCCGTCACTTACTGTACACACCCCATAGATGTACGTGTGTAGTTTTTAATGCCCATTCACCCACTTTCAGGAGTTACCTTTGAAGATCTTTGCAATCCTTTTTTCTTTTAACCACTCTGAACAATTTGTTTTCATCACAAAATTTGACTCTCCCACTGCTCAACCCCAACTCCAGGTCATGTATTAGCAAGTTTAAAAAACACTGGTCCCAATACTGTTCCTTGGGGGCACCATTTTTTAAAAATATCCGTCCATTTATTCCAACTTTCTGCTTCCTCTTATGGATCAGTAACTGGTTAAAGAACTGCTCTCTTATTTCACAACTCCTAAACTTAGTCAGGAGTGTTTGGCGAGCTACTTCATTGAAAGCTTTTGGGAAATTTTAGTACACAATCTATATGCAACAAACATTCCATGCATATACAATGTAAACAACACAGTTAAACATTAAGCAAATTCATAAATAGTTTAGAGTTGATTACAATGGTTAGGTGTCTTCTATTCTATGCCTTAAACAGATTGTCCCAGAGTGAGCCATGAATAGCTACTGGTGGGGCAAGGACGGAACAACAATGTCCTTTATAGTGTACTGCATAAGCATGTACCATATAGTTTGAAAATAGTCAGTGGTATTTGGGTTCCTCCAGATTTTTTGGACTGCAACTTCTCAGTCCCAACCATCACAGCTGTGCTGGCTGAAGCTGATGGGTATTGTGCGGTTCAAAATGTCTTGAAGGTACATGGCTGCAGAAGACTGAAACAGAGGGAGGAAATATGTGGACTACAGCTATTGGCAACCACAGAATCATGTCAGTACAAAAACTCAAGTGCTTGCATCGAAAGGACTCAAAACCTTCAGGTACATATAAACTTTCAACTGTGGTCACAAGTAGATTGAAGCAAACTAATTCTGTTCCTAGATGGAAAATCAGGGTAGGAATCACCCACAGAGATTAAGGAAATTAGGGCTACTCACACCTTCCTTATTCTAGCTAGCACAATAAACATGTGTTCATCTATCTTCCTTCAAGGGCATTCCTTCAGATATACACAGGATTCTCTACTGTATATTTAAGCTGACATAAAAAGTTTTAGTAACCTGAAAAGGAACACTCTAGTAAATGTTTCAAATGCAATCATGCAATTTTAGGTACTATTCCACGTAAAAAGAATTACAAAGGGGATTAAATTGGTCATTTAGTGCTCATATTACAGATAATTAGAATGAAATTACTGTGACCAAAATTATTTCTTCAGCAACTCAAAGTTCAGTATGTTATGCAGGGGTAAATTATTCCACTCATAACATCCAAGACTTCCAAAGTGAGCAAACAGGATAGTCAGTAACGGGTGTAACAGGAAGCCACACTGAAAGCAGTGTCTGTTTCTTTCAACAACCATCAGCACACTTATGGCAGTAAAACACAAACTGTAATAAAAAGTACTAGGCAAGGATTCAAAATAAATTTCTTTATTTCAAAATAGTGTTTAATATCAAATGATCCAGTTAACAGAAAGGTCATAGAGCAAGTAACAAGCTTTTTTTTATAAAAAAAATATATATGGAAGAGTTCACAATTCCATATTAACTGAGGACCTCTGTCTTCGTTAAATGGACAGATTAGATGACAAGAAAATTGTTACTTTAACTGCACTTTTGCACTGCTTAACTTTTAATCATAGATGGTTCCCAAAAGGTTGGCTCCAGAAAGGCTAAGTGATGGAAGAATTTTAAGAAACTAAACATAGAAAAAAGTTTCTTAAAACTATTCACTAATGTGCTCTCCTGTGGAGATAAATATTACACACCATTAATATTTCTATGACACATAGTAGCAGGATATATTTAGCATGTCAAACAATTCACACAATTTTTTATTTTTGGAATAAAAAAAGTGTTAATAATCATATGATAACTCCCAATCATTTGAAGGCTTTATATGTCCCAAGCTAGAAAACTTCCACTATTGAGTATTTTGCACTTGAAGACTGCATAAAGAAGTGCTATAGTGGAGTAGTTAGAAATTTTAACAACAAAATAGATGCAACCCTTGCATTTCCTTTAATACTGAAATCACATTCTAGGAGGAGGAGTTCAGTACAGTTCCCATAATTTTCATATTTGAACTAACAGTGTGACACTAGTTCTGCTCATGAAGTGTTCTATAAGGTAAAAAGAATTACAAATAGACTATCAAAGGTGATGAAAACACAGTACGAACAGATATGTACAGTAATTCATTTTTGAAGAGCGATACTGGATTCTCCTTAAATATTCTTGGATTAATTAAAGCTTGATACATAATAACTTGGGGGGGAGGAGTCAAAGCCATATAATAATGGTTGCAACATACAAAAAACAAAAGTTCCAAAACAGAAATGCTCGTTTCACTAAATGTGCTCCAATAGTGTTTTTGGTTGTTGGTTTGTCTGGCGACACTGAATACCTACGTCAAAGACTGGGGTAACCTTGATCAGGGCAGTGTATATCACTCTCTATTTGCCAATTCTGCAACAGCAAAAGCTGGCCAATGTACCACATGTCCATCTTGTTCCCCATGGTATCCTCCTTTCCCAGTTGCCCTCTGGGCACCACCATTCAATCTATGTGCTACTTCTGTCTTTAGATATGCTCCTTACTTTTAGGAGGCATAACTGAGTCCCCCTCTGCCTTAACCCGGAGCTTACTGGTCTACTCAAATTTGTTTGTTCTAAAAAAATTCCATTTCTAAAACATCCATGAAATCATGCCACTATAAAAATAACATTTTACTGACATTTTCTCTCTCTCTGAAGTACAGTGCAGGAAAGATCAGAATCCAATCCTACAGTTGCAGCAGCAACAAAAGAGAAAAGGGGAAAGCTACCAGAGGAGGAGAGAAAGGCACTCCTTCTGCATTATCAAGTCAAATGTATTGAGAAGCAAGCAGGTAGCTCCATAGAATACCCAAGTATATTCTTAACATTTTCTTTTCCAGTAACAACTCAGTAGTAAGCATTGGTAAATCAGTGTTTGAAGGTTCAGGCTTAACTTTTCATTTTCCTGGAATTTTTATTTGCCACACACATGGGTCATTTGTTACAATAAAAGGAATGGTTGCCACTGTGTTTGGATCAAGAAAGCATAACCTACAGACAAAGGTCAAACATTACCAAACCAACAGGCCATTGGGAAATTTGGACTTACGAGGAAAAATCAGGTTAACCAGGTAGCTGAATTAAACTGAATTAATGAGTCACATAAAAACTCTTGGAAGTCACAGTAAATTAGCACCAGTGTATGGAAATCTGGAAGTCAGTCAATGCACTGGGTTAGATTTCAATTATGCCATGAGAACTATTTAGGGCAAATTTAATTTCCAAAGTGTGCTGTTCACTCCTAAACGTTTACTACAAAGCTGCTACTTTTAAGATACAATAGTATGATATTCCTTCTTTAAATAACTTCAAATACTTTATCAAACAATCACACAACATTTTAAAACTTAAAAAATATCAGCTTTATTAATCAATTCATTGGGAAGCATTTCCTGTGTAGGAAGTCTTACCCAGTTCCCCTTTATTCTTAACATGACTGCTGTGTGAAACATCAACATTTCTGCATTTGCTGTCTTAAATAAAAATACCCAAAAAAATTTATGCGCAAGACTTGGAGGATGGGGGTAAAAGGAAACACACGGCACTTCCCTGAATTGTCATCACACTTCCAATTAGTTTTTCTTAAATACAGAGAAGTCACACCTTGCACATCTAACTTGTGCCAGGAAATTTGCACACATTTAACTTGTGCCAGGAAAGCCTGGCGTGAAAAGAACATTTAAGCTCTCAGGCTTGCTTACTGGACTCTGGGAAGCTCTTAAGAGATCTTGGATGACCCCACAAGAGCTTCTCAGAGTTTTGTAAGCAAATTTGAGAGTTTAAAATCTCTCCTCCTTGCATGGGAGGCAAAACACACTCAGTGCATCAGCTTCAGAAATGTAGGGATGCACACAAGTGTGGTTCCATGACTATGTACCTGATTTCAACTTTTCCTGGAATGTAACCTCCATGCAAGTTGTGAATCAACTGTATAGTTGTATAGTATAGTAATTTGATGGGGTGAACAGCGCTTTAAAGTTGCAATTGTACTTACTGCAAAGTAAGCACCACTGATCTCAACTGGAGTTGTTTATTTAGTAGACATGTATTGTAAAATATGAATCAGTTTGTTCGTGATGCACTTTAGATAAAACTTAAATTATATAAATCTACAGATGAGAAAATAAAATATTTGTTCACATTGCTGTTAAAACAAAAAACACAGTAAAAATATTTTTTTAAAAAACAGAAAACCCCATTACAAATATTTCCCACCAAGAGATTCACTTAAGTGGAAAGCCCTCATGAAATTGTTGTTACTTTGTTCCAACTCTGCTGTTTTCTATCTCTTCTAGTAACTTGTTTGTTAGTGAAGGGGTGGTAAACTCTGTCAACCCCCTGCCTGCACACAACAGGAAACTACAAAGGGCTAAAACCCTTTTGTCTTTATCCAGGAACAACCACCAATGGTTGTTTTACCTGCATGAGCAGGTCTTTGCACAGTCAACAACCCACTACAGAAAATTAGACCATCAAGCATTTGTTTTTATGAGTTTGCTTTTCTTCAACAATTGTTTATAAAATCAAGTTAACAGTGCAGAAAACCAGGTTGCTGCAAGAGTGTCTAAATGTGTCCTTTGAAAGCGGCTGTTGTTTTATTTCAGAGAAACACACAAAAACTTGAACCCTCTCCAGTTATGTTGTTGATGTTTTTTAAGAAAGCAGAAAAAAGTGATAAAAAGTTATCATGATGGGAAACAAATCCCACAGCATTCCATACAAATTTCCAAACAGTCTGATGATTCACAACAGGCATCCATTATGCCACAGTCCATATCACACGGGCAGTTGCAGTCATCTCCCATTTCTTCTCCACAGCAGCAACAGCAGGCTTCTACTGGGCAGACCCCACATGACGCTTGTCCCAGGACAAGGCTACAGAGGGTGACGAATTCGCAGAACAAGCAGGACAAGATACAGTGAACACAGCAATCTTTGGAAATGTGGCACAGCATGTTGAGGGAGAGAGGAAAGATAAAAGGAAATAAAAAGTTAAAATTGCATTCTAAATGCCCACTTGGGTTGAATTTTTTTTTAAAGAAGAGCAATACAAATTGAAGCTACTTTTTTTTCTTCCCACAATACATAGCTCACATTCCTTGATTTCTGCTTCTGTGCTGCACAAAGGTTTCATCAGCTCAGCACTGAGAGGAACAATATATTCACAGTCTATAACAAATTTTAGCATAGACCAACATGTCAACAAGGTGTTGACATTGTTCTTCCATTTGATGAGACTTATTCAGCCAGTAAGCTACAAAATACAACCCCTAAGTGAATTTCATCTAGCAAACAGAGAAAAATGAGAGATAGGGTGGTTCTTCCAGACCAGTATTCTTCTGGACGTGGCATTTACACACTCAGCATAGAATCCATCCCTTTCACTCTTTTAAAAGAGATTCTACTATCCCACAAGTGAATTTTTTACGTATATATTTCTAGTAATTTTTCACACCAGTTCCCAAGTCTGTTCTATGCATTTTTTAATTGCACTTAATGCAATGCTCTAAGACACAGCTATGCGCATTTTACTGTCTTAGCCATCCAGAGATTCATCTTGGGTTTAATCTAGTAATTAAATCAGCAGCAGACAACCATCCTGGATATCGGAAGGACTGTCTTCTATCAAAGGCTGCCCAAATTCTCCACTCTGCATTTAGATGGGTAGAGCCCACGGAAAGGGTTTTGTAGGTCACGACATCACCTGCACCAACGTTAATGTCTTTTCTGCATCAAACACTTTCTTTGTCTCAAGACATTCTACAAGTTTTATAGCTGATATCAGACCCACCGAAAAGACAGCCAACAAGATATAGAACACAGAAGTTTTTGAATTTAAAATCAGTGAGGGGAAATGCAGCTTCTAAATTCCTTGTTTTGCACTGAATTCCATCCTGTCTTTTAGCCACAGGATATTCTGTGGACAGGATAAGAAGCTAGCGCATAGGTGGGGAAAGGCAATGGAAATTCCATTCACTTTCAAAATCAAACTCTATAGAAAATTCAGAATTTCAGGAATTAATTATCTAGTTTATTTCACAAACTTCAAAAAAATTGAGGTTGAGGAATCTGAGACGCTTGGGCTTATAAAAGGGTCATAACACTAGTCTAGTGAACACTTTGAGGTTTTTTTCTTTTGAACTGTTGAGCCCTCAGCTGTATCACAAACTGTTTTTGAAACTCCCACCGTTCAAAAAGTGTTTTTTTTATGTGATATTGGATGGGTTGGGGCTGATATTTGAGAAAAATAAATCTAAAGCTTCTTGGGCTCACGGAATCAGGTTCACAGTTCTTTGAAACATGTGTGCATGCATGAGAAGGAGACACCAGCAATCCAGGCATTACTGTACTTGAAAAATAAAATTTGACACAGGCAAGGCAGCAGAGTCAAGCCTCTAAACTACATAAAGTGAACAGATCTTTTTGATTTTGGGTAGACAGACTGTACTAAGATAAAAAAGTGTCAAGTTAAACTTACAGTCTTGTAGTGAACAGTTCAGACAACTGAACAAAAATGGGTGGAAATAAGGTTTACATTTTAATTCATTAACACTGTTATCCTGTTCTTGTCTACTCAAAAGTAATGCCCACTGAGCTCAATGGGACAGAATCCCAGGAGTGCAATCCTAATTCTACCAGTCACCCTACAGAATTTACAAAGTCAGCTATATGCAGGTGCTTGTTTTGTCAAACATCTCAGAAAGTAGAACCCAGAAATTGATCCACTACAGATGTTCTTCTACCACTTTCAGGTCAAGTATAGGAGGATGAAAAGGTACACATATCCTCCTCCCCACAAGGATATTCTCAACTCTCCCCTCTTCACAGAAAGTAAGCATGAGCCACTCATACTTCCTCTATTGCCACTTTAAACAAACAAACAACACTTTGCTTCAAAAAAACGAAATAAGAAAATACAAAACAAAATAAAAATACACCAGAAACTTCCTGTTGCAGCTTCTTTAAAGCATCTGAAGATGGCCTTCAGGGAACATCTCTTAATATGAGCCACCGAAGATCTCTGTGAAACCCTTATTGACTTTTCTATTGGCTCCCACCTTTTAGAATTATCCTTCACTTCAGATGTAGTATGGTATGGTATATGGGATTTCTCATTTTTCCCTTCTTCTTCTTAAAGAAAACAATGCACTTTGCTCTGGAAAGCAGACTTTAAACATGTTATAGAAAACATGTGGCCTTTCAGATGTCATTGACCTTCAACTTCCATCAGCCTCAACCAAAATGGACAGGGCTGATGGGAGATGGAAGTCAACAACATCTAGAGGGCTAGATGCTCCCCATCATGCTATGTTTTGGTTGCCTTTTAAATGTGGCACTTTTCGTGTGGATTCTGTTTATTAGTGTATTGAGAGTTACATGCTGTGTGTTTCATTTTAATTGTTTTAGTATTTCACATTAATTTAAGCCTCTTTTGCTGTTTTTGAGAAGTAGGGAAGGAAATCTGATAAATGACTGGGAAGAATTGTGTATTTGGCCCCCCACCCTTGAAATGACGAAAATGTGTTTTTTAATTGAAGAAACTGATGTAGGAATTGTGACAATAGGGTTATTGGGATGAACAGACAACCGCTAAAAGGCTTGCCCTCGAAATACATAAACATCTTAGCTTAAGTAGCATTACTTGCATTTGTTAGCTCATTCCTACACACAATGGTCAGAAATATGCAAATAGGTTGAATGTAGCATGAAAAGAGGTTATGAGAAACAAAAAAGGGGGAAGAGCTATACTATAAGCTAGATGGTAAAATAAGAAGAGTGGTTTTGTGCATTAAATGGGATTCTTTATGTGAAGAATAAATGTACCTGTAAATGACCTTCATCCAAAGCTCAGCAGATATGACATGTGAAGTGAAGCTGGGGAGTAAAAGTTCAGTGAAGAGGACCAAAGCCAGATTGATGGGGATTAATTAGCGTGTTGTCATGGAGATTGTACTTGAATAAATCTAATACAATTTCCTCCCTTTTTTTTAATGTAAAGGATGGGCAAAGAGGAACAAACAGCTACATTGGCTTCGACACTTAAAAATAACTGTATCTTATTTTCCCCCTCCATCCGGGCAGTTTGATGCAAATCAAAAAGGGGGTATTTCTTTATTCCATTAAACAGGTTCTCACAGAGGCTTAGAGAAAGAGACAAACAGCACAACAAATTCTTTCTTGATTCTTTAAAATCAAGTTTTGTCATATGGCTGACACCCTTCTGTTTCATACAAGCCTTCCCTTACGGAAGACTCCAGCCACAGATGTGATTTATTCTTATGAAATACTCTTATTGTGTTATTGCATATCATCATTTGGGACGCGGGTGGCGCTGTGGGTAAAACCTCAGTGCCTAGGGCTTGCCGATCAGAAGGTCGGCGGTTCGAATCCCCGTGGCGGGGTGAGCTCCTGTCGTTCGGTCCCAGCTCCTGCCCACCTAGCAGTTCGAAAGCACCCCTAAGTGCAAGTAGATAAATAGGGACCGCTTTATAGCGGGAAGGTAAATGGCGTTTCCGTGTGCGGCGCTGGTGCTGGCTCGCCAGATGCCGCTTAGTCATGCTGGCCACGTGACCCGGAAGTGTCTCCGGACAGCCCTGGCTCCCGGCCTCTTGAGCGAGATGAGCGCGCAAGCCTAGAGTCGGACACGACTGGCCCGTACGGGCAGGGGTACCTTTACCATTTTATATCATCATTTAGTCTGTAAATAGATTAAGGAAATTCTCAATCTATTTAAAGGGCAATAAATATTTTCAAACAGAGAAAGAAAATGTCAACGACATGAAGATAATGACTGTAGAAGAATGCAGACAAATAGCTACTGTAATGCAAAAAATTTTAAAAAATTGTTGGCTCAGTTTTCAGGCTTTCAAAATGAAATCTAACTTTAAAAAGGCAAAGAACATTGCATACACCTACCAACAATGAACATCATTCTGTTTGTGGGGCTATCCAGAACAACTACTTTAAAAAAACCCTAGTTGCTTTCTTTTCAGCTCTGAAAAGAGCCATTGCATTCTATTTACATAAACAGACATAAGGCACTGGTCTAAATAAAGACACTTCATTCTCAGATAATTAGCAATGGCTAAAGTGGTCTATGCATGCTCAACTACACAGAAAAATGTGAAAATATAATGATTCTGATTGGGTATTAATGTGAATTGTTTTAAAAAGTTTTCTTTTATGCACATTCTGTTAACATGGGTTAGGCGGCTATATTTTGCTATTCCATTTCAAGATTACATATCCAAAATAGCCTTCTTGTCTGTTTACACATAGCCTTCCCCAAGTTGGTGCCCTCCAGATTGTTTTGAACTACAACCTGCAATGACACAGACATACTAGACTGGGACTAGTGAGAGTTATACATACATACACAGGACGAGAATAGTGATGGTTCATCTAGACTATGGTCAATTTTACCCAAAAAGCTACCAGAACCATTATCCTCAAGAAGTTTCAATTCAGTACGTAGTCTGCTTTAGTCCTAGCTTACTTACCAGCTGCCTAAAAAGTCACACAACTAATTTGATTTTATGATCTGCTGCATCTATTTTCCCAACAATGCAAATGCTGTCACTGCCACTGTTAACAGCAGTATGTGGGGTGTCTTTTTAGCAAGAATATAAAGGCAGTACCCACATGCACACAATGAAACAAATAGTATCCAGTAGTTCCCTTAAATGGTCCAATTCTTTGTAAACATTTGGAAATATGTTATATTTTGGATTTTTAAAAAGTAGTAAGAACCACACATTTATAGTAACTGGGTACAACCATTCTATGCTATATAGACTATGCAGATTTCCTTTATTTATAGGCTAGAGATGGCTAACCTGTGGGTCTCCAGATGCTGACAGAATAAAACTCCCACCACCAAAGATGTCCAATGGCTGGCTGATGGGAATTAGAGATCCAAATATCTGGAAGGTCACATTAGTCATTCTGAATAAGGCACCTGTTGTTGCAAATCCATACAGTCACCCTTACATATTTTAAACTAAACTACACCACAGAACCAGTGGTGGTGTAGTGGCTACAGTGTCAAACTACGGCCTGGGAGACCAGAGTTCAAATCCCCACCTGGCCATGAAGCTCACTGGGCACTTTGGGTAAGTCACGACATCTCTCAGCCTAATCTACACCTCACTAGTTGTTGTAAGGATAAAATGGAGGGGAAGAGAACCATGTATACCACCTTGAGCTCATTGGAGAAAGAAGGTAAGCTACAAATGCAATCCATCCATCCATACAAGGCATAATGTTTCATTTTATTGTGGGAGATATGGGTAGGGAGGAGAAGAACAATAAACAATTCAAAATGCCAAGTTGACTAAAGATGAACAATCCCCAGCTTTAAAAACTAAGTATATACAGCAGTTAAACAACTAGTGTATATATTATCAGCAGTATTCATGAAGTTGAGGGAAAGAGGCTGCACTGAAGTGCATCTCTTTACATTTTGTGAACATCATTTCTTTTTTTTGGTTGCTCAGTTTGGAGAGATCATTCTGAAGCTCTTCATAGTAAACTAGTGTTTTCACCATACTGAACAATCTTGGTGCCATTCCACCAACTTGCTATTTTACTTCTCATACCCAACATCCGATCTTTATTAATAGGAAGTGCGGATCCTGATACAATCCTTGAGGGAACCCCACTTCTCACTACACTGTGCTGTGAAGAAGTACAAAGTTTATCTGTACCCTCTGCTTCTAGTTCCTTAACCAGATACCAATCCATAAGGCAACTCCTTCAATTCCATTGCTGCAAGGTTTACTTAAGAGTCTTTGGTGAGAAACTTTGTGAAAAGCTTTTGGGAAGTTCATTCATATGTATGTATATATATATGTGTGTGTGTGTGTGTGTCTGTGTGTGTGTATGTGTGTGCGCGTGTGTGTATATATATGTATATATATATCTCATCATCATCATCATACTGGATATTTAGTGAGACCCACAAATAATTCTAAAAGATTATTTGCAAGGAAGAACTTCTCTTCATCAGAAGCCATACTAATTCTTCCTCAGCAAGAGCTTGTTCTTCTATATGTTTACTATAAATTCTACTTTCAATAATACTTCCCACCAATTTATCTGGAACAGACATTAGCTCAATCATGGGCCTTAATTTTTTTTTGCTTCCTCTGAGATGCAACTTTTAGAACTAATGTGACATTGGCAACCTTCCTATTCTTTAGCAAAGAGGTCTTAATAAGAAACTGAATAATTTTGTTAAGCAATAAACAATTCCATGTTTGGAACTGACAGGCCAATTTCTAAACCTTTACAAAAGGCTTTTATGACAAATATGTTCAATTACAAAATGCTGACCTGGGTCAGATTTTTTTCAGCTATATTCAGAGAGAGATCAGGAAATTCAAAGAAAACCTGTAAGCACTCTGTTCTCTCACAGCAAGAATCAAACGGGTAAAACCACTATCAAAGTGGCAGCTGAGGTCCTCAACAAGGCTTTACTCAAGGCCCCGCAGAGAGTGGAACAGAAGTCCCAGCAGGAGATACAAGACTTATATAGACACTAGACATAGGCATGGTGAAGGCCAAGGGCAAACTCTGAATGTCAATTTAAAAAGTCAAGCCACAGCCAAAACAGCCAACAAGAACATCTTAGGATGTTATATACGTTGATTAAATGTTCAAAAATTAAAAATAATGACTTAAATATATGTTTTTCTAATTCCCTTTACAAACATATTTAAGAACACAAACATTCTGTTATGCACAGTTAACCCTCATTAAAAAAACAACAACTACATGCTCAAGTGACAGTGTACTAGTCCATAAACTGGCACCATTAAAATCCACCACCACCAGTTCAGAAACTGATCAATAGCAGGTAGGTCACAAGATTCAGTACTCTTAAAATGTGACCTTTTAAATAAAATTACATTTTTCAGAATTGGGATGCAACTGCAGCAGGACCCAAAGAAAACCAAAGCTCAAATGATACAAAAAAAGGCAAATCTATTATTTAAATCCAGATCTGTATACATCACATCAGAAATGGGAGTTAGAAGATACTCAGGCCTTACCATGTTCATGGCTTATTTCTACAGCAGACTCTCATTTTTCTTCAGCAAAGCTACCATACCAAAAGTGAGCCCATATAGGAAAAAGTGGGGGTTTGGGGGCACAACGTGCAGGCCGGCTCCCACATTCTCTACCTGTGCAGCCCATTCACACTTTATTTGGATCTCCTGCTTTATGAGTGACTGGGGTAGATACGGGTTTAAACACATGCTGGTGTAGTTTGTAACTCGTTTTTTTCTGTAGTTCAAACAGAGTTGCAGTTTTAAAAAGAAAAATGCTAGCCGTGTCAGTTTTAATCTGCTGAATTAAGCCACTGCATCATCCTCCTATACACAAGATGACAATACAGCTTGGACACAAAAATTAAGCTAATTCTAAACACTTTGCTTGAAATAACTACAGCTAGTGTGGCAAGGGTTAATAGATTAATGCTCAAGCCAGGAAGGAGTAGCCAAAAACAAATATACATTAAAAATATGCCCCAACAGAAACATTGTTGACAGGGATCCTAACATCTATTAAAAATAAGGGGAACTCAGCAGTCTGTATTTAAAAAAGAAGAAGCACTATACAGTGGTACCTCGGGTTAAGTACTTAATTTGTTCCAGAGGTCCATTCTTAAGCTGAAACTGTTCTTAACCTGAAGCACCACTTTAGATAATGGGGCCACTGCGCCGCCACTGTGTGATTTCTGTTCTCATCCTGAAGCAAAGTTCTTGACCCGAGGTACTATTTCTGGGTTAGCGGAGTCTGTAACCTGAAGCGTCTGTAACCTGAAGTGTATGTAACCCGAGGTACCACAGTACAAGCTAAAACAACGTTTTCTAAACAAAATAACTGAAGTAGATGGGATAGTCTGGCATCTAGGGGCACAATCCTCCAATGAGTGTGCCAGATGTCACTGTGGGGATATTGCCAGAGAAACGAGGAAGAGGAACTTAAAATTGTTCAGTTGAGTGCTGGGGAAGCAGCAAACCCTGCAAGCAAGGATTCAAGAAGGTCAGACTGGCATGGTGCAGGAAGTTAGGCACAGAAGTGAAAGAATTCAGAGAGGTGATAGATAGAAATAAGATGGCACAGCTTTCAGAAGCTGAGAATAAATGTCAGGAACTGAAACTGGGTGTTTCTAAACAAATGAGAGTCCTAGTCATGCATTACTTGTGTGTAGGACACTTGCATTCTCAAACCAGAGCAGGCTGGCTCTTCATGCCCCTTCAGGGTCACACTTAACATCCTTCTTTGCAGTGTTAAATGTTACCATTGGAGGGTAAAACTAACACCTGTTCAGAGACAATTGGCGTTCTTTCCTCCTTCAAAAGCCTACATTAACAGAACACCAAATTTAAAGAGATTTTGATCACATTATATTCCATTTAACATACAGAAATTAGAGCCAATCTACATATTCGGAAATATTGTATGGCACGGCGCTTCCTAAGTTACAACATCTCAGGCTGCAAGTTAGGGGCTCCAATGCATAAAAGCTGTCCCAAGAATTTCCAAGAATGACGAATATAAGGCTAGAGCATTCTCCCTGGCAAGCTTTCTACACTTGGGAAAAGGGAATATGCTATGAGAGAACATTAAATAATGTGGTCTCCAATCTACAAAATGAAATGGTGCTGTTTATGATGGACTGCACCGTTCAGAATTTCTGAATGTATAGAGACGAAAGAATTGATTTATGAAGACTAGTAGTGCTAAGTGAAATCATGGCTTTGACAAAGTAAGCCCCTACAAACTGGTAAAATTTAGAAGACGTGTAACAGCAGTGTAAAAACATCTGTATGTATTAGACGTAAACAGTTATTCATCTATGGAAATCTAGGTTCCAAGAAACTGCCAGGAATTACTTCTTGAAATACATTTTCATGTCTGTATAAGAGACTCTATTTGGCCTCTGTTCCTGATTTTTCATTTCACCAAACAGTGTGCTAATACGGCCAGGGGATACTTCCTACAACTAAACACAGCTCAGGACTGCATGGATTACAAGCCCAAGCACGTTAGCCATGGCTGGCTAAGTCAGGAATGACTGGTAAAAGACAAAGCAGCAGCTTGGACCATAATCAGACCATGTAAAATTATAAACTGATATGCAAAAGAAATTGGGGAGAAAAGTCTACAAAGTCCTCATTTAAGCTTGTTAAAATTCACCTGGACACTTTCTAACACAGAGCAGTTGCTGATTGGGTCCAAAATGTATTTCCTGCTTTGCTCTACCCTTCTGTTTCAGCTTCTTATCCTACTTCCCAGGAATTAGTCTGTAACAATGCAAACACTTCATATTCTGTATCTCTAAACAGGCGCGTTTGGGGCTTTAAACCTCTCTTAACTGACTCCCTAAAGCACAGTGAGACAGATACCTGACATGAATTGGTGTCTGACTACCAACAAAAAAATAGGAGAATCTACCAGTTTCTGTTTTAACAGATAAAGCAAAGTCTGCTGATCGCAGTGTCATGAATAGGAGAGCAGCAGATTTAAAATAGGCTTAGGAACCATGGGGCCATTAGAGTAATTGTGGTCAGCAACACACACAGAAATGAAATATGTTTACTTAATGGACATGTGCTGTACAGTGAAGAGAAATAAGTGAAGACCATTTGTATGTGCAAATTATGTATTGGCTTTATAGCAGTATGGTGGTAATGTAAGCACTGGCCTAGGTTTTGAATACCTTTTGGACAGCACATACAGGCTGCTCAGAAATGTATTATACAATTTTCAATGACAAAACTTCATTGACAAAAAGCATGCCAATACACATACTGAAATATTCACTAATCTCTTAAGAGAGGGGTGAGGAACCTGGATGCATTCACCCATGGGGTTAATTTGTGTTTTGTTTTATTGTGTGCCTTTTATACTGCAGGACCTGCATACTCCCATGGCGTTCTAAATTTCATTCACACCAGTGGGAACTGCAGTCTGAAATGAAAGTTAAAAACCGGGATCCTACCTTTGAGTTGATAAGCAGAAGAATTTATCCTGCAGTGTGTGTAATGCCCCTTAAGCAGCTTTCCTAATGGAAAGCTACTTGTGGAACATCACCTACCCAACCTCCAGCCCAGGACTGATCCAACAGGGTGGGGATGATGCTCCACAAACAGCTTTCTTTGAGGAAAGCCTTTTGTGTAGCCTCACCTAGAAGCTGCAGGCTCACAGCTGTTATGGGGAGTGGGTGATCCTGGGGGTGTGAGGTTCCACAACTAGCTTTCCTTAAGGAAATCCAGTTGTGGAGCCTCTCCTGGACCCCGCAGGATCACTTGTTGAGGGCAGAGGCAGGGGGGAATCCCCTGGACCCTGCAGGATCACAGTTGCTATGGGGAGTAGGCAATTGGGGGTGGGGGCGGTGCTGACGATCCACAGCGGCTTTTTTTTTTAAAGGAAAGCAACTGGTTGCATCACACAAACCAGGATCCACCCATCTGCTCATCAGCTCTTGAGTAGAGGCGTGATTCTGTAGTATGAGCCCCTACTGGACCCTGCAAGATCGCTTGTTGAGGGGTAAGGCCAATGGCATGGGGTGTGAGGCTCTGCAACAGGTGACTAAAGTCACTTGTGGTGCACCCTGCAAGGCCTCAGCTTATGCACAGATCTATAGAAAGTTCCGGAGCTACAAGTAGGTTCCAGACTCGCAAATGGTTTTGTTTTCTCCTATAAGTAAGTAACAAGAAAATGAACGCTAAACTTGGTTTCTAGAGATATCTTGGTTTTGTTGTGTGACAGCTTGAACATAATGTGCTACATGAATAAATATATAGTTAGGGAAATGTCAGAAAAACAGAATAAACTGCATTGTGAATAAAGCCTCTGTGAGCCGCCATATGTTGTTGGTAGTGCTATTTTTATAAAAGGAGGTGCTGGAACTCACCATGGATGCCTCCCTTGTTCTCTTTTAATGGCAATGGCGCTCACCTGAGAGGCGCCGGAACTGAGTGCCAGTTCCAGCTGGTTGTTGGGTCTCTACTTCCATGAGCCTCAACCAGCATAGTAAATGGTCAGGGACAACTGGAGTCTATAATACCTGGAGCTCATCAGGTTCCCCTTCCCTGTCCCAAGTCAAATCATTTCCCCTCCATGTTGTATATGTGATGGCATTGCCAAACAGCAATTCAGAGCTTCTCCATCTACAGATATGATCAACAGTGAGGTGCACAAATGTTCAGAAAGCAGGAAATCTCTCATTTCAATTTCCTTCAAATACTTAATCTTTTCCTTTGGGGAAGTAACTTGTATTTTGTTGTAATGATTTCTATTTGCTTCTGGAGCACGACTCGTGCTCTTCAATTATTTTTAGCTGATTGTGTAATTATTAGCGGGAATGGCTTTTGGTTATTCTGTGTTCAGTTTACTTATAAGGTTTCAGCTTACCTTCGGGTGAAGAGCCTGGCTTGTGAGAGTATGCAGAGCTCTTCTTGCTGCTTCCACTGTTGACAGACAAGCTGGACTGGATTTTTCTGTGCATTTTTTGGGAAACAGGTGCCGAGAACTTTCTGCTATCTGGTGCCCCACACTTGACTCCATTGTGCATCCCACTTGCGTTACTCAGCCCAGTATGGCCATTTTGTATTTGTATTTTGCCTGTTTCTTCCTTACACTTTTCCAGTGGTGAAGCATTTGGTTGTGGCAAACGCTGAGGTTGTGCTTTAAAAAGAACAAGAAAAAGAGACAGTGGTTTAACACATATCTATGGAGAATAAACTCTTTCCTTTCCTTCTTGAGATCCACACAAACACACACTGAATGTCTGGGAAGCCTTAGGGCATTATTTTTATGTTATCTTCAGCTTCAGTGTCATTTCCAACCTGAAAAGGAAGAGGATTGAGCTCGAAAGTCAAGGGCAAATGGAAGATGTATGGACTCAAGGACCAAGCCAGAGGAACTTGGGAGATGCGTGAAAAGGACACCCTAAATTTTTCCCTGAAAAAAACCACACACCACAAAAGCAGTAAGCAATGGACCAGGTTAACTCGCTCCTGCAACATTTCCCCAATATACCACTGTTTACCCAAAATTACCATATTTGCATACATATATAGATGTGTGTGCGTGTGTTTTCCCCCCTAGTGAAACAAGTATCATGGGGGAACAGGGGGAGGAATTTAGATCAGCAGAAAGGTTTGAAACCACATGTCCTCCAATGCCACAGCCCTACACCAATTTAGTTTCTCCATCACTACTGCTCCCCAACTCCTTTCTTGAGATAACAGATTGGAATATCCAGATACATATTTCCACATCCCATCTAGTTTGGTCTTAAGTGATAAGTGAGCACAGTATACAAGACTATTAAGTAATGACTTTACTGTTTACATGTATGTAAGTTAAGAAAGGATTTTCAATTCACCATTGCCATGTTTTCTGGAAGATAAGCGAATTTATAAGAACGTCAACTCTTTTCTTAAAATGAAAGATTTGTTTGTTTTAAAGATAATGAGCTGCAAGCCAGGAAGTTCCCAATTTGAATCTCAACCTTGCCCTGAACTCACTATGTGGCCTTTGGCAAGCTACACTCTCCCAAACTTAGTCTGCAATATAGGAGATAACAATACTGTCTTGTCTTACAGGGCTGTTATAAGGATTACAACTAGATAATGCATGTGAAGTGCTTTGAGCACTTGACAGCTGTACACAAATGTTAAGTATTTATTAAGTACTGCTTGCTATAATAAAATAGAGGACATGTAATGTTTATATTAAAAAACAAAATACTTTGAGGATTCCCATGTTAAACAATATAAGTCTTAAGAGCTGTGAAGCCAAGCAGAGAAAAGGTAATATCTTGAGTCAAAGCAGGATTCTCTAAACTGGACTGAAAATTAACCCACATTATTTATTACATTTTTGGGTTGCATTTTAGCCAGCAAGTTCCCATGGCCGTTTAGATAAAATTGGAACAACTGGTGAATATTAAAACAATGATGCTAAAACCCACAATGAGTAAAACAAAAACAGCTGGTTGACAAAGGCAGAGAAGAAAAACCAAAGAACATGATGAAAAAACTACCAACTTCTGCTAACAGCAAATCAAACCCTGGATGATTCTCCAGAAGCCCACCTTAAACAGAAGCATGCAGCTACCATCTAAAGTCTGCTCTTTATTTTGTATAAAATCAATGTCAGAATATGCATTTTTAGATCACCCTTAGATCAGGGCATCATCATTTTTTATGCTTGTGGTGCTCGGGGGGGGGGGGGGAGGCCGAGACTCTCCTTAAGATATTCAGGCCCCAGATCCTTTTGAGTTTTAAATATCTAAAAATGGCCAGAAACAAACTGGTAACTAATAAATATTTTTAAAAATAGGTTTAATATATAGCCGCTTATACTCATAAATATGTGAACTAAAGCTATTAGCAGACTGGCATCAATACTCTGGAACACTGTTCCTGTTGAACTCAAGAGAGGCACTCACAGCTATGGTGTTCTGTCACCTGCTGAAAACATTTCTGTTTCACCAAGTGTTTTCCAGAGAATTAATCTGATTCAGTGTTGGTCATCTGTTGTGTATTTTATGTTTTTATATGTGCTGAAAGCTGCCCAGAGTGACTGATGAGTGGGGTATAAATAATAAAATAATAATAACAATAACAATAACTTAATTTTATGCTTTGATTATTTTATGTACCCTATCATATTTACATGACTTATTAGTTTGTACTGTCATATATAAAAGGGCAGTTATATTTTGGTCAGGTGAAGTTTTTGGCCCAACAAAACTTATTCCCATATTCCCTAAGCAGCCTTGCATCAACATTATATTAAAACTATCATGTATAATAATTGCAAAATCAGAAAGACACAACAAAGGAATGAGGAGTCCTTATAACACAGACAGCATAAATTTACAGCCCAGATTTAGTACACAATTTAAAAGTTTCATAAACCACAAAGACAATGCAACTCTAAATTGTGTAAGAGGTTATCAAAGTAACTGACCGGTTTAAGAAAATATATACCGTACTTTTCTGTGTATGACTGTTGTTGTTTTTTTACTCTAAAACAATGTTCAAAATCTGGGCTCGTCTTATACACGGATAGTATCTCCCCCCATTTTCTTAAATTGGAGTCCCCCAAAACAGGAGGTATCTTATACATGGGGGCGTCTTATAGATGGAAAAATTCGGTACATACCAGTAGAAAAAATATATACAGTGGTACCTCGGTTTACGAACTTAACCCGTTCCGCAAGTCCGTTCTTAAACTGAAACCGTTCTTAAACCGAGGCACACTTTCCCTTACGAGGCCTCCCACCGCCAGTGCCCTTCCACCGTTCAGATTCCATTCTTAGACGGAGGTAAAGTTCGCAAACTGGGACACTACAGTGGTACCTCGGGTTAAGAACTTAATTCGTTCTGGAGGTCCGTTCTTAACCTGAAACTGTTCTTAACCTGAAGCACCACTTTAGCTAATGGGGCCTCCCACTGCCGCTGCACGATTTCTGTTCTCATCCTGAAGCAAAGTTCTTAACCTGAGGTACTATTTCTGGGTTAGTGAAGTCTGTAACCTGAAGCGTCTGTAACCTGAGGTACCACTGTACTTCTGGTTTTGCAGAGTTCGTAAACCAAATATTTTGTAAACCGGACTGTTCTTAAACCAAGGTACCACTGTATATCAGTAGTATATAAGAACTTATGTGGAACAGGCTCGTGACATATGGAAAAGAGACTTCCACTGTCGTTTGCATATTGGTCTCCTTTGTCCCCGACTCCCCTGCAACAAGATATGAAGGGGGGCAAAAACACCTTGGCCTCACAGAGTTGGTGTGCCTGACTCAGGCAAGAGAAAGGTCAGATAAGTCACACCACACTGTCCATTGCTGACCCTACCACTGAGTCAAATGGTGGGATTTTGTAAGGGGTGGTGGGAAATCAATTAAAAAACAATGAATGGTACTTCTGACAGGAAACAGGGATTATAGGAACTCCATGTTGCCCAACATCCTCCTAGTAATAGCAGCCTTTGATTTTTCAAGAGAAGAAGGGTTTTCAACTACCATAAGGACAAAAACAATAGCTGATCACAGTGACCCTCTGCTTCTAGTGCACAAGCACACACACATATTACTGAAAACATAAAAGCCTCATTTAAACCACTGTATGTCAAAATGGCCTTAGTTAAAACATTGGAAAAGGAAAAAATAATATTTGTCAGAATAACTAGACCTACAAATAAACATTTGCCTGGTTGCTTATGGGAAACAGGACATGCCTCTAAGCTAAAAAACAGTGAAGCTCTATAGTTCTGTCTTTCTCTCAGGCCTCATGGCTAACTAGATATGTGTGGTCAGGCAGGAAGTTTCTTTCTTTTTTAAAAAAGCAGCACACGCTCTCTTGCTCTTATAAGCAAGGCTAATAACTTATTATTTAATTCAAACCTTTTGGGTCGACCCAGCCTTTTAGAATTAAAGACACAACACCAAAGCTCCACTCAATCATAGAAGTATAAATTCATTTCAAGTACCTCCAGTGATCACAAGTACTCTTGCAATTCACTGACAAAAGGAAATCCCCAAAGGTGGTAGTAGGAACTTAAAATGCAATAGCTTTTATATAGAATACTCCCTTTAAGTGCATAAGCAGAGACAACTTATCCGAACCACTGGCATAAAACTCAACATTCCCCATTTCTATGCAAGACTAATTTGATCTTGTTCCATTTTCACCCTATGTAGGTATTGATAAAGAGGTAATCATCTCTGGGATGTGGAAGTATCTTGCCACTTAACAGTCTGGCAAGTAGATGCATTATTTGGAATTCTTAGGTATAAAATGTTATGCTTCACCAATTGTCAGCTGTTGGAAAATATGTTATCCTTTGTCAATAAATAAGAAGAGAGAACATAGGAAGAATTCTGTAAATCTAAATGACAAAGTTATTAGAATTGACAGTTATGACCTTTAGAATCTAGCAGAATTGGAAATGGTTGTTTGCAATTGTTTACATTTCAATATCATATTACAATACATGACACATGATCATCTCCCCTGTCTTAAAACATCAGGCCTATTTTCCCAATTAATGGGCAATACGAAGTCTTGGGGAAGTCTAGCCATGCAAAGTTATTTGTTTTACTTTCATTTTATTATTTTTACTAGGATCAAGAGATAAATTCTGCTCCCAAAGTACTCTTATTTCAGTAACATTAACATACAACTTTTTAGCTGACTGGCTTTAGAGTATTCACATATGATATGTAGGTCAAATCAAAAGTGAATAAAACCCCCAAATGTATTAGTTATACCAATTTAAATTTATTTTAACTTTATTGATAATTTTTCACTGGGGAGACTTGAATCTTATGGTTAAAATACACTTGAAACCAATTAGGAACCATATGACTACATTCTAGTATAAAGAATAAAAAGCATTTGACAGTTTTAAGATTAAGCCACAACCATTCAGTTTAAAACAGCAATGTTTTTACCTTATTTTTAAAGGTTGTGTATATCTTAAAGAAAAGCGTAATGCGGGAACCGACACAATGCTTTCTTAAAACACAGTGATACCCAGGGACTTTCACTCTCCCTTTAATGATCCGCCGCTCTCATTCAGCTGTCTTTCTTTTTTTTTTCAAATCTTTGCATATGTGACAGCTCTGAAAAGTAGACCATAGACCATCTGGCATTTTCAGAGGTGTAACTTGTGCAAATTCAGCTCTACTGGGAACACAATCCTATCTCCTGCCTGCGTTATAAAAGATACAATAGAATGTAGAACTTATGAGTTGTTTTGAATTATTCATTTTTTGCCTGTATATTCAAGAAATTTTACAAACTCTGCATTTTGTACTACATAATCACATGCGTTAAAGGTACAAAGAAACTTTTTGACACCTCTTTTCTACAGAAAGATGGCATTTTGTTTGATATGTGAACATTCGGTGTCTGTTATATCATTCTAAACAGACCATGTGCTGCTACAAAAGCCTCCATTTTGCACTATATATGAGCAAAATTTTATTCTTGTTATTCAGTAACTAATTCAATACACATCAATATTTCCAGTACTAGATTTATGAACATTCAGCAGCTTAAATCCAGGATGGCATTGGTCACCAACTCGTGTGTGTGTGTGTGTGTGTGTGTGTATCTCACAACATAGAATGCTACCTTGTTAAATATCCACAATGAATAGTTTTAAACTGTCTTAAGAAATACTGTTCTTCCATGGTTAAAATGTTCTTAGAGTGCAGCAAAACCAGTGGATTTAGGTCAATCTTTTATACAGTGTTAATACTAGAAAATTTTCACCAAGAATGATAAGTATTGGATTAATGATTCAATAGAATGAATCACTTTTGATAGAAAACTAGCAGATAATGTAGCCAGTAATAACTATACATGAATCTGCTGCCTGTGGAAAAGCAATAAAAAGGCAATATATTGCTACAGCATATAATCTATTAGCATGTTTCACTGCAGTACTGTCATTGGCCTCTTCATAAAGCACACCTTAATATAATAACTTTTGTGTTACTTAACCAACTTTACACAGTAATTTAATTGTAAGGTTAGTAGATAGCATAAAATAGTTCCAGGAATTTAACATGTATTTATTACTAAAATTTTGGAGACTTGGAACGAAGTGATTACACACGTTCTTATTCTGATTTCAAACTTGCTGCAATTTCCAGCTGACAAAAAAGTATCGCTTGAATATATTTTGTGAACTGTGTTTATATAGACAGACTTCTTTTCATTGCACACAGACACACAATTTTCAAACAAATTAAAACTATTTTCAAACACTAATTAATAAACAGCTATAAGGACTGTGAAATGCACCATGGGCGGAATTCAGTTTTCAATATATGAGGGCACAAGTGCAAAAAAATGAGCAATGCAATGCAATGCAAATCAAACAAGTATGTTCAAACAATGACATACTTAATTTATGTGGGTTATTTTGAGTTTGATTTAAATAATTTACACCTCTGAAGTTGGAAATATGTGTTGTTATTTATTTCAGAAAAGCTACTTAAATTTTGAATATGCAAATTAGTTTTTTTACATATTGAATAAAATTAAAATACTCCATGAAAAATTTGAGATACCTAGATATACAATATAAAAACAATAACAAGCACTCTATGCATCAGAATAATAACAGAATAATAATAAACATTTACATATTATTATTTTGAGTGTCCCAAGTACTTTCTTTCTTAAAGGTCCCTGGCCCTAAGGAAGCCAGACTATTCTCCACTAGGGCCAGGGCTTTTTCAGTGATAGCTCCGACCTGGTGGAATGCTCTGTCCCACGAGACTAGGGCCCTGCAGGACTTGAGCTCCTTCCTCAGGGCCTGTAAGACAGAGCTATTCTGCCTGGCCTTCAGTTTGAATTAGCCTAATCCTCTATTCCCTTTCCCCCTGTCCTCTTCTATGAAGAAACCCTTTATGGGACCCCACATTTAAATTCTTCCCTGATCTCCTTGCTGGCTCTAGTAGCACCAACTTGGCCAGTTAGCCCTGGTGGTCATTTGATGTCTACTGACTGGGTCCCCCCCCCCCATGACCCCTGAATATTTGAATTTTATTGATATTGATGCTGCATTTTATGTTGTATTTTATGCTGTTTTTAAGTCGCATTTTAATCAATCTTTTATATTTGCTGTTAGCCACCCTGAGCCCGGTTTTTAAACCAGGAAGGGCGGGGTATAAATAAAAAAAATTTATTTATTAATTATCATCCTCATCCTCATATCACAAGCTTGGAGTCTTGCTGTCTGAGCAGCCCAGGATCTCCAGCCCTGGAGATGTCACTTTGGTGCTGCTAACACAGTGGTTTGACTTCAACCCCAAAGGCACACTCCACTGTCTCTCAAGACAGACGGTGCCCTTAATATATATGTTTTTTGTGTGTGTGCATGTGCATGTGTGTGTGCATGAACATGTTAGGGCGGACTATTGGTACGATCATCTATTACAGGAACCTGCTATGAAAATAACTATATTGGGATTTGCTCCACACTGCATCCCATAAGCGATGTTCAAAATGAAATACAAATTACCATGCTCCTTTCAAAATCAATATAGTATCCACATGCAATTTCGTTTCATGCAAGGGCTAGGGTTGGAAAATACATTGTTTTTTGATAGCAGAACACAGGGCTCCCTTGGATGAACGTGCAAAGGAAATGGGAGGGAATCTATTAGGTTAGTATTAGTCTGAATTTTTCATTTATCCCTTAAAGCATTAATTGGACTTGATACTTAGAACTGTGAAATATTTTGTCAAGCTGGATTTATAATATACTATGGAGGGTAAAAGTTATGTTTGAATCAGGAAGTCATCTCTTTATTTCCTGTGCCATGCTAAAAATCCATCAACACCTTGGACGATATGGACTATATAGTATCAAATACATTCATTGTAGAACAATTGCCAGCCAAATCTATGCAACCACTAGCTTGAGGAGAGTTTGTCAGGTTTACAAATGTTTCCAGTGTTCTGTAAATTAGCCTAAATTTGTATTATACATATTCTAAAACAGGTCCTCAATTTTGGTTTTTCAAAATGTCTGTATTAAGCCATAAAGATACAGTATCAATAACAATGCAAACTTTTACGAACTCTGACTAGCCTCCTTTCAATTCTTTACTGGGTAGCTATGCACAACCATCTGGAATATTAACATTCAAGTTGCAAGATATACCTTTGAGTCAACCTGTAAAGTGGCTTTTGTCAGCAATTATTTTTGAATATTTCCTAGGAAATAAGTAGCATATACTGCACCTTCTACATCACAGAAGGCATACATTAACTAAACAACAAGAAATGATCAAGGTACAATCCATCTTTTTAAAATCAATTTTTCATGCTGAATTTTTAATACCATGCTGACTTTACAAAGAAACTAAAGTACCAACTATCAGCCATCAACTATTTCTTTGGAACCTCCTCATGTTTTACAAGAAATACATCATTATGAAACAGGATTTCCTTTGTGAAGAAATACTCCAGCAAAATTGCAAGTAGATTTTTTTTCCAGAAGGTTTACTGAAAATTCCTCGCTAAGACAGCCCAGAACTCCACTTACAGGATGCAAAAAGGATATTTCATACCATTGTTCTCACTCTACTTGAAGCATTTTTGCAAGGCATCCCAAGAACACACCCTTTGTGCTGAGATCCTTAAGCCAGAAGAATTTCAACTATCCACTGCAAAAGCTATCTGTACTTCTAAACAAATATCAAAAGTGATGAAAGTTAAAACAAACTTGATGCTTTCATAGTACAAATTGGAACCCAAGGAAAAATAAAGTTTCATTGGGGCTATAGGTAAAGGTAGTTATTATTCTGCATATTCTGGTGCATGGTTTTCTAATAAAAATAATCAAATATAGAGATTCAGGTAGGTAGCCATGTTGGTCTGATGCAGTTGAAATAAATTTTAAAAAATTGTCCAGTAGCACCTTAGTTGGTCTCTAAGGTGCTACTGGACAATTTTTATTTTTTTTTTAAAAAAAAATTCAAATAGAAAGAGAAAGTGTTAAAAGCAGGCAGATATTCCAAGGGCAAAGGGACAGAAGTTTACATATCCCCTTTATATGTACTAGCCATTATAACTTAAGCAGGTGCCCCAGAAGTTTATCTGGGGTTCTGCTCAAATGCAGTCTAGGAAACCGGGTTCTGCACCCCAAAACATGTATTTTGATAACATAATTTAGTTTCACCAAATCACTTATCTGCAATCAGTTTTGAGAAGAAATGGGTGCTGTGTAATACACTGAAACATAAGATCATCTTATACAGTGGTACCTCTGGTTGAGAACAGGATCTGTTCTGGAGGCCCGTTCGCAACATGAAAAGAACGCAACCTGCAGCGGTGCGTCTGCACACATGTGGGTTGCGATTCACCGCTTCTGCACATGCACGTGATGTCATTTTGTGTGTCTGCGCATGCGCGAGCGGCGAAACCCGGAAGTAACCCTTTCCGGTACTTCCGGGTCGCTGCGGGACATAACCTGAAAGAACGTAACATGAGGTATGACTGTATCCCCCTCTTTTCTTACTCTCTGCATTAGTCTCTCTCATTTCCCCAGCCTTCCTGTCTTTTTCTTTGCTTTTTTTTTGTTATTTTACCTCCTTTCCCATCTGTCTCTTTCCCCCACAACCATTATCATTTTCCAACCCCTTTGTTCTAGCTCTGAATTTACTGTTTCAAGCATGGGTTGGACTGGGTGATATATAAGGGCTCACCAACTCTATGGCATGCTTACACTTGGCCCGTCTATGGCTTCTACCTACTAGCCAGTTCCAGGAATGATGCACAAGGGCCTAAGAGACATAAGGCCCAGGAGGTCTCCTCAGGCCATTTTATCCCAATCTAGTATAAATGAAATTCTCAACCAGCACACAACCATTTTGCCAGGAACTTTCTGAAAACAGAATGGAAGTTTAGGATTCAGCCCTTGTATTACCAACAGGAAAATAATATCTGAAATGTAATCTTAGTAGCCATTTAGCTTCAAGAAAGAGCGGCCACAATAAGCCCATGTGTGAGTTGGGCGTTCTCTTCATGGCAAGCTATGAAATGCCAGTAATGAATACTAAAGTTGTGTTACCAGATGATGGGGAAGAAATCACTGTATTTGTACCTCTAGTTTTGTACATTTTCATAGCACTTAACTGGAACCACTAATTTTATGACCAATTACAACAGTGATCAACATTTTATAACGCTAATTTATAGTCTCCCTAACATTTTATGCATTAGTATTCTTGATCAGCATCTTACACCTTCATTAATCACATTATCAAGGGTGTTTTGTTTTCTGTCACATAAAAATTTATGAGGTCTCAGGGCAAGGCAGGTGGTTATTCCTCTAAGGGTTTTTTCCCATTCAGTTTCCTCTTTACATACCAGAACATGTTCCTTTATTTTTTGTTTTCTCAGTTAATTTGTTTTATGACAGTGCTTTAGGTTTATAATGCCAAAATACTATACCTACTAGACCATTACTCACAAGTACTGCAAACAACACTGGACATGCCAGAAATGCTATCAAAGGTTCCAGCAGCTTGGTGCTTGTTCAGAAGGGACTGCATTATTAACTCGTTATCATTCGTTTTTGCTGTGAGGCTTCCAGGATAGTGATGTGTAACCACATCACATATTTTCTGCATTACCACCTCCTGACACTGACAAAGGGAGACTAACACATGGATGGCCAAAATGGTGCCCTTACAGATGTGGGGGCAGCAGGGGCAGCCTTGGCTGGCCACAATTGGCATCACTTTCATAAACATGTCTGAGGAGGGTGTAGGCTTTTAATTGTTGCTGGCAAACCACATTAAATAAATCAGTCTTCTAAAACTTTAATTATCCATAGGTGATAAGGAAGTCCATGTAGGCAGGTAGAATTTTTTATATATGGTTAGGTGTGCAGGCTAGCAGGAGGCGGTGTTGCTTTTCCACCAGACCAGTTGGGTCCCATGCTGGCCACAGAGGAGGATACCTCTGCTTGTTCCATGATCAGCAAGATGAAGGATGAAATTCATATTTTTATATTTACTTGCCATAAGCAGATGCTTCAAATTTAGTAAAGGGTTATATCCAACCTGTTGTGTTCCACTCATACAACAGTGCTCTGTGCACCCCCAAAATCTGCTTCAAATGGTCCTTCTCTACAGCTGATTTTGAGGTTACATGGGGGCTGGAGATGACAGGAGAGGACAATGGGGTTCCACTGCATGCATGGAAGTCTGCAGTGCCTATGGAACTGCAATGTTGGGTGCACTACTATATTTCTGGCAAAATTATGACTTAGTACTGTATTTTTTAAACTCAGAACTTAGGACACAATATTTATATTTATGACATGAAAGATATTCTAACAATACTACTAAAATAATTCCTAAGAGTACTCTTGAGCATGGATTGCAAAGATAAACTTTCCTAAAAACTTATACACTTTCTTACCTAAAAGGAAGTCAAGTGTAGCTTATTTGAAATCAGTGCCAAACACTTTAGGTACAATACTGGTTTTTCAACTCCTCTCTCTCTCTCTCTCTCTCTACCCCCCCCCCAAATGGTTAAAGCATTTTTCTTACTAGACTATAGAGTTTCATGTCCCTTATAAGCAGTGACCACAAGGTTTCAAAATTGAGAAAGAAAAGAAAAACACCAGTCATCTTGCTCTTGTAAATTTGTAAAAGAACATTCACAAAGGAGATGGCAAAGACAGCCATAATGGGATGAAATTATCCATGCTATTTTTTCCCCCAAGCAAGTTAAAATTCTGATCCTCCTCTCAGTTCACAGAAGAAGATATAAATCTCTATGAAATCATTATGCTCCCATAGTTTCAATATAGCGGAGGCCAGAGGTACTCAGAAGTCCTTATCTTGTGGAATTAACTGAATGGGCACCAAATATCAGCAGAGCTTTTTGCTTTATTTTGAACATTGTAAAGATATGCCATGATAAAATACATGCAGCATTTTTATTTTTACAAAAGACAACAGAATACTTCAATTAAAAATGCTCCTCTCCCTTTCAGAAATGTATAGAACAAAACAACATTGTCCTGTTAGAGCTTATTTAGCGCACACCACATTTACAAATATTTCCAATATAACCAATGTTTTTGTATGAAATTTGGTTATTTTTCAAAAACACTTTGTACATAGAAAAATGTTTAACACACACAGTTGCTACAACCATGTGTAAATATTTTCTTATTTTTATTCAATAACTTTCCTTTCCTTTCCCCTTCCAAACTTCATGGAGAAGAATCTACTGGTGAAGCCATTAAAAGAATAATAATTCTATTTTATTTTTTAAAATCGAATACAGTCATACCTTGGATCCCGAACGCCTAGGTACTTGGATGTTTCGGCTCCCGAACGCTGCAAACCCGGAAGTGAGTGTTCAGGTTTGTGAATGTTATTTGGAACCCGAACGACTGACGGGACTTCTGCGGCTTCCGATTGGCTGCAGGAGCTTCCTGCAACCAATGAGAAGCTGTGCTTTGGTTTCCGAAAGTTTTGGAAGTCGAACGGACTTCCGGAACGGATTCCACCCGACTTCAAAGGTACGACTGTAATTGGAGTGTTCTTAACTGCAGTGCCTATGTATGCAAGTATTTTCACATAGAACATAACTCCACCCCAGTTCCATTGTATGTGTGTGTGTGTGTGTGTGTGTGTGTGTGTGTGTACACGTGCGTGCGCACACACACACACACAAATCCTCACACTCCATATCAAGCTATTATGTGTCTTCTACAATTCACATCCAGCCTTGTCTTTTCCCCTCCATTGAGTCACACAAGCTCTCATTCCCCATAGCAATCTTGATGGGATACTGCCGCACTCCGTGTACCACGGCAGAGAAGCATTAGTCCCATTGTTTTCAGGGCTTTATAAGTGAACTGTGGTATATTTATAGCACAGGGACACAGCTCAAGTTGTGAATATTTCTAAGTGAAGTACTCTTCACACATACTGAACTCCCTCTAGCTCAAAAAGGAAAAGGCTTAAAGCCACACATAATATGCAATATATGCCTGCATTTCCAAGTACAAATTATAAGTAGCAGCAGTTCCAACTCTCATGCCCTAAGCAAAATATAATTACTCAGCTCACCACAAAAGTGAAAGAAACCAGGTCTGCTATCCTCCTCCTTACATCCTTAAGAGGCAACTCTTAACCACAATATCTCTACATTTTAAATTTAAACCATAACACAGCTCCAACTGATACTAACTATAAATGTTCTTAAAAACAGTCTCCAGCCCTGAAAGAAGTGCCAGAGAAAAGGCCTCATGGACTAATACCACCTTCTAAAGTCAGAAGTGGACAAAATTACTGGATTCCACTCCAGTATAGTATTAGTACTGAATAAATGAATTCATTGGCAATTCCAGAGGTGCATCTCTGGAATCTTTCTCATAGCTGAATTCCACTCACTAAAAATTTGCAGTCTTTAGATACATAACAGGCTGTATATTCGTGCACTGGAGCCTCCTGCCCCAACTTGACACAGTGACATCAAGTCCTGTCATGCAAGAGGCCTCCATATCTATTTGGCAAGGTCTACAACATTTCCCAAACCTCCACATGCATAACAACACAGTCAAATTCTGGTAGATCTCCAGCCAGGTTCAGTGTGGTTCCAAGGCAAGTGAAATGCAAAACCTATATATGTGAGAGTCTGTCACTATCTATATACCACTATTAAGTGTAGACTTATATCTGAAAACTGAATTAAATCAGCTATGCAGCCACTACCCATTCTAGTTAACCCTTGGTACACAGACAGATGTAGGCAAGGCTGCTTTTGTTCATAGTTACGTTCAAGGACGGGAAGCGGGTGGCGCTGTGGGTAAAATCTCAGCGCCTAGGACTTGCCGATCGTATGGTCGGCGGTTCGAATCCCCGCGGTGGGGTGAGCTCCCTTTGTTCGGTCCCAGCTCCTGCCCACCTAGCAGTTCGAAAGCACCCTTAAGTGCAAGCAGATAAATAGGTACCGCTTTATAGCAGGAAGGTAAATGGCGTTTCTGTGTGCTGCGCTGGTGCAGGCTCGCCAGAGCAGCTTCATCACGCTGGCCACGTGACCCTGAAGTGTCTTCGGACAGCGCTGGCCCCTGGCCTCTTAAGCGAGATGGGCGCGCAACCCCAGAGTCGGTCACAACTGGCCCGTACGGGCAGGGGTACCTTTACCTTTACCTTTACATTCAAGGACAACCTGCAGAGCACACAAATACAAAGCTATTCCATTCAGATATATACCTTATATAGACTCGAAGAGAGCACTATTCTCATATACAGTGGTACCTCAGGTTAAGTACTTAATTCATTCCGGAGGTCCATACTTAACCTGAAACTGTTCTTAACCTGAAGCACCACTTTAGCTAATGGGGCCTCCTGCTGCCGCCGCGCCACCGGAGCACGATTTCTGTTCTCATCCTGAAGCAAAGTTCTCAACCTGAAGCACTATTTCTGGGTTAGCAGAGTCTGTAACCTGAAGCGTATGTAACCTGAAGTGTACGTAACCTGAGGTACCACTGTAGATGGTAGTAAAATGTATCTGTGAGTATTTACCACACCATTTTTGTTTAAAATATCTTGTGCTACTGAAGGACTGATTATTTTGGAGATGGCTAACATTTTAAACCATCTTACGCCTTTATAATTTGGCAAAGTATCTTATTTTGTGTTTCAAATGCTAAATATGGTTAATTGAATATATCATTATTCTAGAAAATTGCAGACTATCACAATGCCAGTTCACTTACTCCACAGTATTATTTCAGGAAAGGTGTGGGCAGGTTCTTTTTTTTTGTATGCTATACACAGGCAAGCTTCTTTGAAATATACTGGAACCAAATGGAAACATACCGGTACATCTTAACATAAAATGCAGCTTTATTTCTGGTAGGTTCATAAGGATGCATTACAGCTACGGGGCGGGGAGCGATTTAAGTAATATTCGCTTCAAACAATATATTGCTTTATGTACTTTATTTAGAAAGCATCAAAACTTTAGTTGCTGATTGGAGTTATGGAGAGATTAACAAGGAAAGGACAGTGACAAATAATTAGGACTTTCCCTTGTTAAGATAATGATCTTCCGACTTGGGGTTCACATTACCTAAAACTTTTTGGATTAATGACTGAACATGCAGCATAATTGTGTGCATGTCTACTAACAGGCAAATCCCACTCTGCTCACTGGACCCTGCACCCAGGCAAACGAACATCAGTTTGTTCATACATAATAAAAATAGCAAACATCAGTCTTAGGCAGGAAAGCAAAGTTATTCCCCCAGATAACACACTGCCTGTAGATTTAGTCCTCTTTCGAATCATCGCTATTAATATGACCAACACTTTTTGAACAATTAGAAGATAGTAGCCTCGTGTCCTTTTCTTAGATTTAAGTTCAGTATATATGGGTAATTCTTAATACAAAGCTTGATAACACTGACAGTTCTTTCTCATTCAAGCGCTGGCTCCAGTCGTCTGAAAACATTCATTCATTCAGTCAGTCAGTCAATTTGTATGCCACTTTTTCACACACACAAAATCACGCTCAAAGAAGCTTACAACAAAGAAAACAGGAATACATTTCAAACCAACACTACAAAAATAATTTCAAAATAACACAGCAAAACAATAGCAAATATAACAGCCATACAAAAAGCACATTTAAATACTATAAATTTAACAAGATTAACAAAACATGCAGCATCCAATAGCAAAAATAACAAGGGAGCTTCACGGTTTCACCTTAGTCCTATAAAGACCCCTCCCATGATGTTGCAGAAGCGTCTTATAAGGGGTGGGGTAGCTGGAAACACCCCATTATATAAAACATCATGTAATTGAGCAATGAAAGTCCTGTACATTATTAAAATCACTCTTTGAAAGCCATCACATCATCTGACTGGATAAATAACTTTGGCACAAAGTAGCTTTCAGTATATTTTCTGTTGGGCCTCAGTGTAAACTAACCCAATAAGGAAACTCCACCTAAGAGCTGAGAATGCAATAGAGATTTCACACAAGCAAGGTATTATCTGATATGACTGATCATGTGAATCAGTCCTAAATGATGAGCCCCTCAGAGAACAATTCTCTAATGCGGACACTGAAAAAACTACTACTTCAGCTTCTCTAGCACTGTGGGGGATTTTTATTTATTTTTATTTTAGTACATTGGTGCATTACCTTGAAAGGTGCTTGTTTTACATTTTTTTATGGCTTGGGTTTACCAAATTTCTCCACTTACTGAATAGTACACAACATATCCCAGAAGTTTATCCTCCCCACTCCCTCCAATATGGATAAAAATACCCCTTTCCAGAAAGAACAAGGTGGATGTTTAGTGAAGAAGAGGATAAATTTGAAGCTGAAATGATGGATGGCAGTGACCTTTCTATCTGTAAAACTTCAGCATATAATAGGCTATTTAATCTTGAGAACTGGATTATTATTAATCAATTATTCATGACAGTTTGAATATATGGGAGATGCTTCTTGTTTTCTTAAATATCACAAAGCTGAAGTCCTGTTTGAGCAACAGGAAGATTAAATCTGAACAAGTCTACAAGACCCATGCCTATTGCTCCTTCAACTTCTATTGCTTATTGCTATAGAATATCGAACAAATTGTGCTGAATTAACTCCTACTATGGTAATTTTGCAGTAATGTGTGTCATTCAAACAAAGAAAAATAATGGAAAAACAAGTATATTGGTGGAATCTGGCAGAATAGGCTATGTTCTTATGTGAATGGTGACAATGGAATCAGACAGCTTCTCTTTTCAAGGAAAATGTCTCATAAGATCCTAAAGGTGCTCAAATTAAAAGCTGAAATGATTGGCTGCGTAACATTGCACTTTGAAGGGTGAAAATAGCAAGGCATGATGTGACAATAGTATGTTTACTTGCATTATGGATACAACTCTAAGTTTATTTCTCATTTTTTAATTTTTAACTTCTCTTAATTTACTAGGAAAATGTCAATTTTAAAGAAAACACAAAGAAGGAATCGTTGAATGAATTAAATACATGAAGCCTGGAGAAGAGAAAACTAAGAGGAGATGTAACAGTCATCTTCAAATATCTGAAGGGCTGTCACATACATGATGGACCCTATTTATTTTCTGCTGCTCTATGGAAAGGGTGAGGAATCTCAGGCCACAAGGTCAAAAGCAGCTCTTCAGGTCTCTGTTTGGCCCTCAGTCAGGGTTCTCCTTAGGTCATGTACCCTCTCCCAGGTCTCTGTGTCCATCTTAAGTGCTTTTGCCTAGATGGAACATGCTCATGAACATTGATGATGCCTCTTCTTGCTAATACCTGGAAGGAGAAGTGGGATAGAATCATGGACCTTTGTGAGGCTGGAATGTATCCTACTGTGGAAGGCAAGTGTCATATCCACTTTTGCTTCTCACTATGCCTGTCAGTGCTATGCAGCCCCTGGAAAGCTGCTTATGAAAGAATGTAGCTCTCAGGCTGAACAAAACTCCCCAGGCCTGATCCACAGGGTAGAAGCTGAAGCAAGGTGTCCAAATGACAAGAACAAGGATTAAGACTGAACATTAAGAAGAATTTCCTGACAGTGTTAAGCTGTTTAACTGCCCAAAAGTTATTATCTTGCTGTATTTTTTTTTTTACAATAATAAGAAAAACAAAACATCTGGAAACATTTATAATGGGAAAGCTAAGAAGACTTATAACAAACAGAGCAATATTTGAAACTGCGTAGGTGGATAAACAATCCATTTGGAAGGAGAAAAAAATATTGAGTCATTAAGGCAGCAGTAAACAGAAAGCAAGGCTCTTGTTAAAATTATGATGCGTATTATGTTCAAAGCAACACAGAAAAGCAAATTCCTTGGCAAATCAGTCTTACTTAACAATTCTTATTTTTTTTCCAAATAATTGCTTTGTATGTCCTCAATCCAAAATGTTCACTTTTGACTGATTCCATTTTCTACACAATGGAATACTCATATCTTTTAATCCCAATGCAGTTTTACTAGACCATTAAGGAAGACCCATCAAGAACACGTGCTGCACGAAACATGCAAACCATCATCCCAATCTTCTAAAGCCACTGATGCAGGAGTGAAGATTTTACACATAAGACAACTTCCTACATACACCGCACTTTCCTGCACACCCTCATTTATTGTTGTGAACATCCCTGTTCACTGCAGACCTGGAAATTAGGAACATAAGAACCTGCTGGATCAGGCAAACACCCCCTCTAGGTCCAGCATCCTGTTCTCACAGTGGCCAACCAAATGCCTAAGGGAAATCCACAAGCAGAATTTGATAGGACTGGCCCTATATTATCCCATCTGTATGAGGGGGAGACAGGCAAAAGCAGATAATTGGTGCCATTAAGACTAGCTACTCACGGAAATCAGGCTGGATGAAATTTGAATTTATAACTTGAAAACTTGAATCACTGCCTTCTGTAGAGAATCTGAAGGCGCTCTCCTCTCTCCCTAACACACAACAAGACTGACAAATCTCAAGATTGTTCGAAGGGCACTTGCTTTCCTTGGAATTAATGGAAAACAGCATTATGGGATCTTAAAATAATAATTGCACAGATGCGCTGCCTGACATGGTATAATGCATGTTTGCTCAAGTCACAAAAACAGCTTGTTTATCTCTAGGTACTCTTTGATGATGAAGACTGACAGAAATCATCCCTGAGAAGAAATTCTATTGACACACATTACAGTTCTACACAAATGCATTTGACACAGATTTAGCTACATCAACAGTCAGTACAAGATTACACTAAAAAGGCAAGTCTAAACAGCAGCAATTAGTTCTGGAAATACTTACTTCTGATGAGGTCATCACCAGTGCAATTCCCCCAGACAGGCTGGTCCTCTGTATCTACTTGTATATTTGGGTTATTTGAAGGTTCTCTGATCTCTCTCTCTCCTAGCGCTGTTCTTCCTCTATCACATTTTTCTAAACAACAACAAAGGATTACACTATAAGCAATTTAAGAAGATTTACCCCTTCCTTTCCAAGCTGCTTTATCAACAAGAATATACCAAACCGTTCTCTTATAAATTGTTCATGGCTAAACTGCAAGAGTTAAGTATTAGCAAAGAGATTAAGGATAATTAAAATTATATAATGATTGTTCTCCCAATTTATTATTCAGTTGCAGCAAGTTAAGAAAACTACTTCTCCTTCTGTCCTAACCATTCCCACACTGAAACATACTAAGGGGTAAAGAGACTTCACACTTGTAGGATCTGCTTTGGTGGTGGTGGTGATTACTTGATCTCGGAGTTCCGCAAGCTGGAGCCAAGTGTTTGCATAGTGGCTCAGAGGTCCAGACATACTGTTAAGAGTTAATGAAGGGTAAACAGTATCTTAGAACATATGATTAGCACAGGAATTTATTTTGAGAACCAAAACCAAACTCTCAGTCTCAGCCTTTTCATACAAAAATCCACTCCAGGTTTCCCCCTTGGTTTTCTTTTCTTTGTAGCCTAAATGAGAGGGTGAGTTTTATGTGGAATCTACACACATATAAAAAAATGTTCTGAAAACGCTTTTTAAAAAAGCGTTTTTAAAAATACATTGAATTTTCCATAAGGCTCACCATCGCCATCTAGTGTCACATTGTATATTGCACTTAAAACACACTTAAAATGTTTTATTTGCAGCTGTATAGCTGAGTCCTTAGTTGTTGCTGTTGTTAAACAGCTGGAACCTTTGCCACCTACTGTAAAAATGATATCATTTTCAAGTATTATTTTATATACTTAAGCATTTCTGTACCAGCATTTACAAAATGGTCACAGAGTGTTCTGCAGTTTTTTTTTAAAAATGCATAAATACCTAATATAAAACATTTAAACAGCAAACTAAAATATCAGCATTAGTATCAGCATCAGAAGTTCCAGCTATATTGTAATTCTGTAATACCTATAGTTCCACATCTGTGTACTAAATTAAAGAAATGATGGTGCAAGGCACACCGCCATAAAGAGGTCATTCCAAAGTGTTGAAGCTGATACTGAGAAGGCCTTACTAGATGCCCTCTCATTTCTTACATCCTCAGTTGAGAGAAGCACCAAAAGGCCAACCTGCTGGTCTTATAAAGTGTTGGTCACATGGGCAAGACATGTTAGTATGGCAAGCAACCCCACTGTTTGGCTCTCCTGTGAGATCTCCCTCATTCCAACATCACTGATCACATGGGATGAAACCTCAAAAGCGCAACAATCATGTTCCCTCTGTAACACAGGACTGGCTCTGTGTTATTGGAAAGCACTGGAGTTATGTACAATTAAAAACTTTGAACCTCCAAAGTTCTTCACAGTCCATTTGAAAACTTAAACTCCAAAGTACTTTGGCCAGAATCACAAGAAAGGGTGAGTCATGCTGCACAGATACACTCTCTCTCTCTCTCTCTCTCTCTCTGTGTGTGTGCATGCATGCATGCATGCATGTTGCTGTTTAGTCATGTCATATATGTATATATATACACAGGGTGAGTCCTTTAAAAGAGGCCCCATGGATACACAGTACACATGTTCCACGGGGCCTCTTTTAAAAGACTAACCCTAGATGATAGATAGATAGATAGATAGATAGATACACACATATATATACATACACACACACACACACACACACGCATAGAAGCTGAAGATTTCTGATACACAGAAAAATAATGTTACATTCATATATCTAAATTTAAGAAAAGCACCAGTCATATGAACAAAATCCTATTTAATAAAGCAATTCCAAATATCCTTATGTGGCCAACTTTTGAAGTGCTTTCCAGCCTACATACTTCAGCGATTACACAAATACCCCCAATCTGCACTATTTTAGAATTGGCAAACATAATTAAAGGGAAAGCAAATTTTGCATAAACATTTTGAATTTAGGAAGTGCATTTTAGATACTTTCATAGCCAACCTTTAGATATGTGTATTGTAGTTCAATTAAACAATGTACCGGTACATGTGCACTGAAGAGCTGTGACTGATGACAGATCTTTCTTTAAAGGTTCCATGGCAGGTGGTCTCTGTGGTGCAATGGATCAGTGCATCTGGCTGTTAACCATAAGGCTGGTGGTTCGAGCCCACCTAGGAACGGCTGCGGGCAGGATTCCTGCATTGCAGGGGGCTGGACTAGATGACTCTTGGGGTCCCTTCCAACTCTACAAGAGCCATGTCATATTTCAAAGTAAAAAGCTGTTTGCCTTTTTAGTATTGCAATGACTGCAGCAGAAACTTCAAAGAAAATATCAACTCTGTTGCGTTTGCCCATACCGCATCACTCGGTTCAAAGTTCTGACTGGAAAAGAATCCGAGATCGGAAACTGCTGTACTAGGCAGACCAAGATAGTATGAGGTAAAAGCCAATGTCACTAAAGTCGTTTAGGCTTTGACTTCAGAAGAATATGCATGTGTCACCGCCACATGGGAATTAATCATCTTAACTGAAATTATGCACAAGAAACTGAATGCAGAAGTATGTCCTTGCGACATTTACACTTAAGCTTGTCGAGAAATCTTGCATTTTCTTGGCTGATACTAATAAATTCATAGTTGTGTTAGAAGCAAGAAGAACAATGTAACATAAGACGATAATACAAGACACTATTGTCTCAAAGGGTATTACTCATCACTCAAAACTGTAGCATTTAATAAATACGAAAAATCTTAGCAACTTTTTCAACCGTTAAGAGGGGCAGGAGGGGGAATCCAATTACTCATAACATTAAAAGCAGTTACCAGTAAAAGGTGGCACAAAATCTGGAAAAATTAGAGTAATTGTGAAACTCGATATTTTAGCAGTATTGATTTACTGTTATTTCTATTGAGCACAATAGCAAAAATGTCATAGCTTTCTCTCATAAAAAGTACCTCTTTCCAAAGCATATCTGCCCATCTAAGAAACTGTGTGACGGCTATATTCATTTCACACTTACCAACCTCAAGTTACAACCCAATTTGGAGTTGATATGCAGCAAAACGTCCTTAGAAAATCACTTTGTTCACTTATCTATCATTCTCTATACAGTATTATTAAACAATAAATAATAACCTCACTAAGTTTGAAATCTTAAACACACTTATTAGGGAAAAAGCACCACTGAACACAACTGAGTAAACATGCATAAGATTGTGCTATAAATGTACCTTCTAGGACCGTGGTCCCCCGTTAGCTAAGTACTGTGGACCCACTGTTTTATAAAATCCAAGCCATGGATCCCCTGCTTTTGAATTTTTTGATACCTTTATGGTAGTTTTTGTTATGTGAACGGTGCCACAGACACCTTGAGTGAGTTATGTGGACCCCCTGGGATCCGTGGGCCACCAATTGGGAACCACTGTTCTAGAATACTTTTAGTTCACAACAGGTTACAGATCTATGAGTCCTGAGTGGCACTTTTAGGCAACTGCAACACAAGTGGGAAGCCTCTCTAACCAAAGGGGAATGGGGGTGAGCAGGAGAAATAAAATTAAAAGACAGCTGCATCACTTTACTTGTTGCAGTTCTCCAAACTCAAAAAAGCTCCAACTCAAATCAGAACTCAGAAACATTTACAGTAAGTTACATGATGACTCAACTGTGCGTATTATGGGCTGCTGTCTCTCAAGCTTTGCAGATATTACTGACTCCTGTTAGCATCATCATACAAAGACAAATGCAGCTAGTGACTGAATAGTACATAATCTACTCAGTGGAGGGCCATTCCATTGGCTGAATTTCTATGACAGACAAGGCCCCCACATTTCCATATTAGAGTTTGGCTCCATTTGGCTCAGATCTTGCACCCACTCCCTTGTCCTGTGCTTCAGATCTGAGCCGCCAAGGCTCAGCTCTCATCCAGAATAAGATTTTCCTCCTAATTATAAACATACCAATGTTTCAATTAATCAATCTTTGTTTCAGGTGTTTCAGGAAGTATCTGCTTGCACTGCTTTATTTTTTGTAATGGTGAGGTCCATTAACCATTCAGAATGATAGCGTGAATGCAAGGAAGAGTGTGAAGGAGAAGGTACCAACAAATCGTTGCAAGTCTGGTTGCAGTTCCTCAATTATGGCAAGGAAGGCAGGAACTTCACAATTTGGTTTGTTATAAGAATATTTATGCCACCTTTCAATTATATTCCCAGGGCAGTTTACAAAATAACATGAAAATACAAAAAATACAGCAAACTAAAAGCCACAAAATAATAAAATAGTTAGCAAAATTAAAACTGCATCTAAAACGTTTGGGAACATAAAAATGTATATGCCTGGCAGCAACAGGATAGTAAAGCACCTGTAGGGCAAAAATCTCTAGGAAGATTTTTGCACCTGTAGGGCAAAAATCTCTAGGGGGGGAAATCTCTGGTGCACCACAACTAAGTAATAATATATGACCATGTGCTGAATACTTCTCACCACTGACTACCACCCAAACATCTGGAATTACAGAAGGTGAGTAGGTGAGGGAAATAGGGTGGCAGCTTGACATCCAGACAACTCCTAATTTCATTGGCAGGCAAAAAGTTCCGCCTCCTCTCTCCACAATCACACACCCTTATGACCTTTTAAATTACATCCTCATTTTCCACTTTATACATTACTGGTGTTCATCTGTTTTTAAAAGATGTGGGTCTGCTGCACAGGATAGTTTGGCCCTAAGAAAATGGCAAAATTTTGAGGCTGATCTTTCAACTGTAGCACTAAACAGCATAAATAGATCATCTCTCTTTATACTAGTATCTAAAATGGCACTGAGATTACACATAAAATCTGGGATACAAGTAACAGTACATAGCTGGAAATGTAGTTTTTCTCAATGTTGAATCATTTATGCTTGTCCTCAACATGCTTTTAATCTTGATTGATTCTAGAGTAAGCCATCCACAACGGGGTATGCAGGGTCAAGTCACCTGATGTGTGCTTTAAAACTCTTCCTGTGATTAGACTATCCATGCCTTTTTCTCCCTGCATATGGCCAAGGTAAACGAAGAAAGAATTGGTGATTGCAATCCTGGTGCATGCCACCTTCAAATCCATTTTCCTTCATATTGGTGTCCACTTCTGTTAAAGAAACTCAGCACCAGCCAGACTAGCCCATATCAGCGCCACTCACCCCAAACTTGCTGGAGGAGGTGCATGTCAACAGCGTCACACCATGCGGTGGACCTGTGAAAAGTGGTCACATTGTGGGAATCAATATTTGGGGGTTTTTGTGCCATAACCGGACAAAACATCATTAAATCCCTGAATCCGGCTTAACTTGCTTGGGAGATAATATGAACCTGCATTTCAAACATCTTACTGGTCTGTTCTTGTTGGCAGCTAGGCCAGTAGTAGCAAGGTATTGGAAGGAGCATTTCTGGGACCGCCTACATCTGTTTTCAAATGGACACACTGCAGAACAATGCAGGGTCAATCTGCAATTACCGTATTTTTTGCTCTATAAGACTCACTTTTTCCCTCCTAAAAAGTAAGGGAAAATGTGTGTGTGTCTTATGGAGCGAATGCACAGCTGCACAGCTATCCCAGAAGCCAGAACAGCAAGAGGGATTGCTGCTTTCACTGCGCAGCGATCCCTCTTGCTGTTCTGGCTTCTGAGATTCAGAATATATTTTTTTCTTGTTTTTCTCCTCCAAAAACTAGGTGCGTCTTGTGGTCTGGTGCGTCTTATAGAGCGAAAAATACGGTAACTTTTGTTTTCTGAATGAAACCAGTTTATCAAGAAGTGTTTTTCAGGGGCTAAAAATATGCAATAGATCTAGACTGTATGTGAACTTTATCAGGAAAAAACAAATACCTTAGTCTCCATTGATTCTAGAATAAAATGTTGTGTGCATGAGCCAACTATAACCACAGTTAACAGTTTGTTGTTGTTTAGTCGTTTAGTCGTGTCCGACTCTTTGTGACCCCATGGACCAGAGCACGCCAGGCACTCCTGTCTTCCACTGCCTCCTGCAGTTTGGTCAAAAGTTAACAGTTTACCATGCAGCAAACCACAACCCTGGCTTAGTGTTACATACAACCAGGGATTGTGGTTTGCTTCACACAAACAAACTATGAATGGGAAGCTTCACATCACGGTTTCTTTGATGACAACATAGCCATACAAAGAAGAATGGTTCTAATACAGATTCTATGGAAAGGAATCTTGCTTTTTTTAAAGACCTGAGATACATTTAAGGCATCTCAAAAAGCAAGTAAGTTTGATTCTTGTTTGCATCTCCATGTGTGTTAAGTAAACGAGATACCCATACACTGCAACAGACCATAGACAGGTTTCAAATCTGAGAAATGCTCATGGAAGTGGCCTAAGTATGTCCATACATTATATATTGTTCCTTAATAGCTCAAAAAGTGTTCCATAAAACATCTCTGATGTTTGCAGGCATACACCCAACTCCAGATAATAAACTGGCAGCATTTTGTCATAGCTGAATTTTCTGAAAACGCTAAGCAATCCTATTTAGAATGCATTACAGAAGTCCAACCTGGAGATCACTAGGGCATGAATGACCATGACTTTGTCCAACTTTGCCAGGGAGAGGTGTAACTCGTGCACTGGACAACACTGGTAAAAGATACCCTTAGTCACTGCCATTGTGTAAGTGGAAAAGTTACCTTAGTAACCTCTGCAGCAACTCTGTGCCATACAGTTCAATCTTATGCGTGTTTTATTCAGTAAGTACTGTACCACCATGTTAAATGGAATTTACCTTCAACTTATTAAAAGGCTGCAATCAAATGTTCTTTATGAGTGTGAAAATCCCACTGATCACAGTGGGATTTACTTTAAAGTAAACCTTCCTTGGATTGGGCTGTTATTGATTTTCCCTATGAATTCTTTAGAAGTTTACTTCTGACGAAAGTTACATGGCAAGGATAGTTAAGCGCTTCTACAAGAAGAAAGGTTTGTTATTATTAACACATATTGCTAGTGTGTCAAATTCATCCCTGAGTTTAGATTGCTGCTGCAACAATATTGCCACTATACAGTTGTGGACTAGTGTAAGTATTTATTTTGGTCTTCAAATATTATTGTGCATAGTTGAGTATCATTTAAAGACAAAGTGTCAGTTCTAAATGAATAAAAACAATGAAGTGGTTAAAATACTACATATTGCCTGTAAAAGAAAAAAAATAACTTAAATGCCTCTCATTTTATTTATAGAAAAAGGTATTCCAAAATCTAAAACACTTTAAATGTTGTTAAAACACGGAAACCTTTACAATAAACAGTGTCACGTGACCATCCTCCTACTTGAATGTGCTCACTTTAAACTTGTCGCCTAGTGAATCTGGAAGGCAAATTTTAAAACAAAATTGAAAGTAAACAGCCAGCTACACATAGGAGGCTGCCTTACACTGACCAACCAGTAGTCCATCAAGCTCAAGTATTGCCTACATTGACTGGCAGCCGCTCTCCTGGGTTTCAGATAGTGGTCCCTCCCTGTCCTACCTGGAGGTGCTGGGACCTTCTACATGCAAAGCAGACGTTCTACCACTGAGCTACAGTCATTGAGCTACAAACATTTTGTTGCATGTATAAGCATTTTAAAGCCTATCTACTCTGGAGCAGCTGCTCATGAGCACACTTTCAGGCAGCTTGGTAGGGAGAAGATAAAGGCCTAGCCTGAGAGCACCTGCCCCCTCCCCTCCAGTTTCAAAACTACTACTCTACAAGGCGAAAAATAAGGGTTTTGTACATATTTAGTCCAGCATTCCTCGGCCTGCTTCGGAATTTGGGAGGTGTGGCAAAAATGGCAACAAACAAAAAAATGCCAGGAGTGAAGAACAGCCAATGCATCTAGACAAAAGCTCTGGAGAAGGAAGTGACACAGGGACACAAAACCCCTCATTTTGTGCCTGTATTGCAGAATAATTCCACCCCCCCCCCACCCACCCCACTTTCCTAACAGGATGTAGGGAAGGTAAGCAAGCAAGCTGTAAGCGGCCTGGAAAAGGCAACACACCCACCCCTCCCCTTCCCAATGCACACAGCCTAATCTCAGCTGCATCATTTCAGCTGTTCAGCCGTCGCGGCTCTTCCCCCCCAGAAGAAAAACTTTCGAGCAACTTACCTCGAGGGAGCGAGATCAAAAAGCTGCTTTCAGCCGGAGCTGCGCGCTCTGGCCCTTCAGGCCCTGAAGGAAGAGGTTCTCTCGCTTGGGACATCTGCCAAGCTCTCTTCCTCCGAGTAATAAAGAGCTTAAACGCCCCTCTCCTCCTCCTCCTCTCGACAAGGCTAACGCAAGACCCTGAAGGAAGAAACAAATGAAGAAGTCTTTCAGATGGGCTTCGAGGCGCGCATTCTCTCACACACATATATACGTATTATCTGACTCGCTTGCAGGCAAAGGACGGGAGATGCGCCGCTGCCAAAGAGAAGCCCGAACTTTTTTTTTTTTTTGCAAAGCAACCGGGTGCGCCGGTTTCTGCTAAAATGTAACATGCGCACAAACACACACACACACTCTCTCACTCTGGTGTTTATTTTTTAACCCAAAACACCGCGCGCGAAGAAGAGGAGCCAGCCCAAAGCTTCGGGCCGAAACAAAACAAAAGCAACCTCCTTCAGCGCCTTTACCTTGGCATTTCCTCTCAAGAAGTCCTGCTCTCTTCCTTCCCGGGCTTGGGAGGGAAAGAAGGAAGGAAGGAAATAGAGGGGGGGAGAGAGAAATAACTTTAGCAGGAGCTCTTCTCCCAGGCCAGCCGCTTCCCCAACATCTCCCCTCCCGTTCCCGCCTCTTTCTTCCGCGCCCCCCCTTCTTTCCTTTCCTCCGGCTGTTTAGCACCCCGCCCGCCCCCACCCATCCACCGGGGCAGCGGCTTAGCTTGGCCCCAGACGGAGCCTCCCAGCGCGGAAACTGGCGTCAGCTTCGGCCCGAGCGCGGCTCGCGCCCCTCCCGCCAAAACTGGGGCTCTCGCGCGCTCTTTCTTTTTCGCCCTCCCCACCCGCCGTCATCGTTTCCTCACGAAAACCGCCTGGCTCTTCTTTTCAGACTGGCAGCGCGGTACTTACTTAAAAAGACATTTAAAAAAAACAACCCGAGCCTGGCCTGGTCCCACAGAACAACTAGCCTGACTATTGTTGTTGTCCCTGAATGGCGTGAACATTTTTTTACAAGAGGAATGGACTCCGGCGGGACCTGTTGCACCTGATGGCCTTTGGGCCTCTGATAAATATATTTGTTTTGCCCTGAAGAGGACCTTTCTCACACCTACATGGCCCAGACGTGAGAAAGATCCTCTTCAGGGCAAAACAAAAGACCTTCTGTATACTCTACAAATGCTCTGCTTCAACGCAAATCCTCTAGGCCCAGGGAAGTTTATATGGTGCCATAAGGCTTCAGCCAGGGCCAGATTTAGGTTTGGTGAGGCCCTAAGCTGCTGGAGGTAATGGGGCCCTTTATATGTCCAGCTGTCCTTAGTCAACAACAGATTGTCGCTGTTTTTTGTGTTGAATATATGCTATATGGTAATTTATGGACCTAATATGTAGGTATCTAAAGCCATTTGCGCATAACAAAATATGTATTTTATCAAAGTAATTGTTGAACTGAAATACAATTAAGAAGAAGTATATTAATGGTGAAATACAATTAAGAAGTATATTTGGGGGCCCAAGCTATAGATTGTTTAGCTTATATGTAAATCAGGCACTGGCTCCAGCAGTCCTAAATACACTAAATGTTTTTCCGGATTACACTTTAAATTTGTTCCACCTCTAAGGAGGCACAAGTAAATGTAGGAGTACAGGTGCCCCCCATAGGAATGAACTCCTGGGGCAGAGGGTTTTTTGCCTCTCCCCCAATAAAATATCTGAAGGGGGCTACCACCAAGCCCAAAAAGTTGATGGGCATTGCCATTCAAATTGTGTGTGTGCACCATGTCATGTGATCGATTAGGCAAGGTGGGGCTTACCTGCACCCCCCACCCAATATTTTATTCAAGTTGGCACCCCTTGCCCCCCCTTAGAATCATAGAAGTGTAGAGTTGGAAGGGGTCGCAAGCGTCATCTAGTCCAACACCCTGTGATGCAAGGATCTTTTACCCAACATGGGACATTCTACTTGCACATGACCACGTATATGTGCAGTACAGGGAAATAAATAATTTGATTTAAACTGCAAAAAATGGCCCCAAAGGGGCAAAAATAGCTCAAAAAGAGCAGGAAAACTGCAAAAATGGAATGGTACAAAAAGAGCAGGAAAGGGACTAGCAATCCCAGCAGCCTTTGCAACTTTGATCCCATGCATCTGAAAGGAGGTTTGGAGGGAGCAATTGTAGTGGAATTTGGTGGATTTTTGGCAGAGTTTTCAGATGAGTTTTTGGAGATGGCACCTAAACACACGGCATCGTCATCTTCCTCAGGTGCTGAGAAACCCAAGAAGTTCCTCAGGTGCTGAGAAACCCAAGTGCTGCTCATGCGGGAGGAGAAACTGGAAGCGCAGGGCTGTTTACAAGACTGTATGACCGTGTGTGCTGTGGCACGGAAGTAAGGCAGGAATGAGTCCAGCATATGTGCCATCAAGATACAGAAGAAGGAAATCTGGGCAGGAGTTGCAGCGAGTGCACCAACAACTGCAAAGGTCACCAGCAATGTGTGGGACAAGGTTCTGGTGAAGACAGAGAAGGCTGGAGGACATGAACCGCAAGCGTGTCCCCATTGATGGCAACACCTTGTGCCAGAAAGCTCTCAGGCTGTTCGCAGCTTCAAGTCTGCTACTGGAGAGGGGAAACAGTGTGTGAAGGAGTTCTAAGCCAGCTCCGGTTGGCTGCATCGCTTGAAGGGTCACTACAGTTTGAAGAATATCCACACCACTGGTGAAGCTGCATTCCCGGACAAGGAGGTTTCCCAAGCATACCCTGACCAGCTGAAAAGACAACAGAGTCAGCTGCCCATTACCCTGTTCCTCTGCAGACACCTGCAGCAGTACCTTCAGCAGCAAGTGAATCTGAGCCATGGCCAAGGACTTTGGGGTACCGGTCTACCCACCCCCTTGTCGTTTCCACATCATCCAAAAATGAGGAAGACTAAGAGCCACCAGTGCCACCATTCATGCCAGTCTGGTAAGTGCTGCTGGGTTTTTTTAAGAGTTCCCAGAGGTTTACTGGGTGTTTACAGGCTTTTTAGACGGTGTTCCCCACTGTAGTTCATTTCATGTATACATGTGGTACCTGGTAACATAACCCCTGCGTAACTGGGGAGATGCCTGTACTTGTAGTAACAGACTTCACATGCAAAGTACCCCAACAGTATCCTCTGTCTTTCCTAGAAGCCTAGAATACATCACACAAATTCAAAGGTGAGGGAAATGTATTTTATTCATTATTATTGCTACCAACTTGTAGGCCTCCAGAGTTGAACCTCAGCAGTAAAATCAAATGAAGCCCAATGTTGCCCCAGAATTACTGGAATACAGTCGTACATTGAAAGTCGAACGGAATCTGTTCTGGAAGTCCGTTTGACTTCTAAAACATTCAGAAACCAAAGCGCCGTTTCTGATTGGCTGCAGGAAGCTCCTGCAGCCAATCGGAAGCCGTGGAAGCCCCGTCGGATGTTTGGGTTCCAAAGAACGTTTGCAAACTGGAGCACTCACTTCCGGGTTTGCAGCGTTCAGGAGCAAAACATCTGAGCACCAAGGTGTTCAGGATCCAAGTTACGACTGTATTGCTTTGGGTCCTATTTTGTTCCGCCTCCCAGATTGTGGGGGGTGGGGGGACATACACAAAAGGATTCACAGCAAATGCACCAAATGATGTGAAAGACAGACTCTTACCCTATGGGTTAAGCCAGGGGTTGCCAACCATCACAACTCAGCACCTGAGTATGCTATTGATATAATATGATTAAATACCTCATAGAGCAAGGCTATTTTATTATTTATTTCATAAGTTTATATATAGTATACCACTTAATACAACAGTTTCTGAAATGGTTCACCAGAAGATAGCAAATGCTGTAAACAATGAAACTAAAAAGACTACAGTACCAGATGGGGAATCACAGAAAAGCAAAGGAAATTCATAGCAGCACACTTTTTAAAAAATCCCAAGATTTGGTGGAATGACTCAGTAGTCAGACCACCAAGTAAGGTTGTAAAATTGCAAAGGTATGACCTCCGTTATCCAGACCTCAGCTACTTCCCCACCCATTATTTGGGGGTCGGAAATCAACACCTGAGCTGGGAGCAGGACTATGACAGCTAGTCCCGACTCCCCAATGTCACGTGACTCACTAGGTTCTCTCCTCTCCCATGGGTTAATCTCGGATATCTTTTTTAAAAGCCTATGTTAATACAGGATATACAGAAGCTCAGTTTTTTTCATGTCTTATCTACTAAAAACATACTCAGCACACTTAGTGACCCTGTGATCAACTCCCTCAGGATGGTAAGAGCAGCCTGGTTGGATCAGGCTAAATGCCTATCTAGTCCTGGCAAACTGTTTCAGTTCAGGCAGTTTAGTTCAGATACCCTACTTTTTCTACAGTGAAGCAGGGGAGAATTATTATATTTGATTAGTTTTTTATGAATTTATGAATCACCTTTCACTTAAGATTCAAGGCGGTTTACAATTGACCATAATAGCAAGCTAAAATTAGAAATAAAGGCAATAGAAACAACTAAAAGGTTTTAAATCAATACAAATAAAACACCCAAGGATATATATTAAAAGTCAAAACAAAACAAAAATGCCTTTACTTGTTTCTGCAAAGTAAAAAAATAGTGGGCACATTTCATATCTCAGTAGGGATGCATGCTGGAAGCCCTGCTCCCAATTGCTGTGGAGTGGGCTTCTGCTATCTTAGGGACTTCAAGGAGACACCCTCCTACAGAATGCAGTGACCTACTGGGGATGTAAGACAGTCTCTGCTGCAGTAAACTGGTCCTGAGCCACACAGGGCTGATTTAAACCTTGTGGCTGCAGCATGTGTGAAGCTATAACAGGAAGATCATTAAGCCAGACTCCTCAAAACACATGTATCTGTCATGACCTGCGTGAGATTTAGACACTTATAACTGTGACTAGAAGTGAACCCTATCTTAAGAAATCACCAGAAAATGATTTTGTAGTAAGGTTTCTCACAATTACGAGAAGTTCTGTGTCCCAAATACAACTTGTTCTGTTTTTCTTATTTCATGCAACTGCATTTTCAAATGTGGGGGGGCGGGGGAGTGGTATGGCAAGGCATAATTTGCATATACTTATTTATTTTCCTTACATTTATATCACCACTTTTGGCCCCTGGTGGAAGGTAAGGCAGGTATACTTGTGTTTCTCAAGTGATCTCCCAACCAGGCATTAACCAGATCCAGACTTGATTTGTAGTAGTGGCAGAGTGGAAGCCTCATGTTCCTTCAGACCATGGCCTGCTCCATAATTTCTCTATAACATTGAAAAATTATGAGAAAATTGAGAAAAACCTTGTCTTAAGTGTGTGTGGTTTGTTTTTTTAAAAATCTATAATCATTTATATAATCGCTTAAAACAAAAATAAATCTCTAACATTATAATCAGGGATGTTCCTATACTTTGCTTACCGTGTATCTGAGTCCACTGCAAAGTGCAGTACTGGTGAGACCACCCCAGCCATCTGCCATCTTAATCTGCCCGGAGGCGTCTATACATATAAATTAGCACATGCAAATTTGTGTCATGGGCCCATGCCCCGAATCCTTTAAGTACCTAGCAATGCCTCCTGGTTTCTCATCAACACACAATCAGATTTGGTTTCAACTGACTGTACTATTGTGCTCTCAAAACTAATCTCCAGCTTTGCTAATGTACTGATCACAAGGCCTTACTTTCTCTGTTGTCTGTCTTTCAAGGGCTCTGTGAGGTCTAAATTGAGCTAGAGATTCAGACATGTATTCCATTTTGGTTTTTTAATTCCTAAGGGAGCATGTATTTCT